CGGGGACTTTTGGTCAGAGTGTTTGGCTGCGGTGGCTGGGGGTGAAGAGCTCAGAGGGTAGGGAGGGAGACGTAGGTAGTGTTTGCGTTGCGGTGGGTTTGAGCGTAGGTCGAGTTTGATATTCTGTATGGCGATGGATACTCTAGAAGCCTTTGTGGTGGTGTCCCCCGTCTCGTAGCTGCTGGCGAACTCTCTGTTGTAGAACTTGGCTGTATTTCGAGGCATAGTTCAACAGGTCAGATATTACTCTTCTTCCTATATGATGATTCACTTGTACAAATGCATAGTGTTCCAGTAATTTGTGCGGCAGCTGGATATGTGACTTGGAGATTACTGCGTAGTATGGCTTCTGTGTTGCAGTCGACGCAAATCGAGACACTGGCGGCCACCAGGAGCCAAGCTGTCACTCGCCGATCCTGGAACGTAGAGCCACTGCAAGTTTCTCAATCCATCAGTTGTTCAGAAATTATTGTTCTACTTTCTATTAGGTGAGTCAAGAATTCTTCTCTTCGATGATTCACTTTCGGCATGTCGCTGCCCGTCCTAGCTACCAGGGGCCAAAAAGACGGCATACAAGCTTGGCGAGACGCAGAAGGCATCCGCCACCTGAAATCTATTCAGCGACACGGAAATGGCAGCCTGGACCACATTGCTTATAATTCTTTTGGTAAGTTTTTCAAATTTTGGACATACGTGATTAAAAACAGAAAATCCAGCGTAATGAGCATACTGGCAGCCTATCTTCTCTTTCGCCCGGCTACTTGCTTTGGCAAGCCGAACAAACGGCAGTCTCTGTAGACACAAACTTAAGCTCGTATTTGCGACCAGAGAGATCAATTTTTCCGAGCTTCTACGTAAGTCTGAGCCTATTACTGTCTCTATCTAGTCGCATCTGAGAGCAAATACAAAGATATAGGTTGGACCTCTTCTCTCTACTTCTACAGAACCGCCAGGACCCAAGCTACTAAGCAAATCGACAAAGTGCATTCTATTGCATTTGGCCCTCTATCTATGTTATTAACAAAGAGGAAAAGAAAAGGTCGGCTACTGCCTACGAAGGCCCGAAGACGATATCGTATGGGGCCCTTGCAAATTGGTTCCCTCATCTCGACAGCAGGCTCGATCGACGCAATCGCACAACTCTACTGTGGATGCCTGACCTCAATCTTGCTTTGATCTGTGAGCTTACTTGGAGAACATTTCCAGTGACTGTCATCTGATACAGCTTTACGAGAGCTTGCGGTGAAAAAGAAGTCCTACATACAGATGAGTCTTCCCGGAGAGCTAAGCTCTTTTTTCCTCAACTTTTTGTCCAGAGCTGATTTCTTTTTGCTGTTATGAATAGAGCCCGAGCATTTGCGAAAACAACTGAAGCCGACTGAGCGATAGCGATGATTGACACAAAGCGTCAACATATTGACATTGAACCTCTTCCCTGCCGTCAAAAGCGAAGCGTTTGAGAACACATCCCGACGCTTTTCCTATCCGTACCCACGATCGATACACCAGAACAATTCGAATCTGAGAGCATTCGCTATATAAGGTGCGTACTAGCAGAATGCCAGATACAAATACTTGGGAGTTTCAGCTGTTTGTTTGAACTGTTGCTGTAGAACTTTCGCTTTAGGCAGATCGTACCCTAAAGCCTGCAGTACAAGCATTGGAACATTGGCAATTTCTCATGCGAAAGCGCACGCCATTATCCACATTACAAAGTAGAGAATTATTTGTGGACATCAAAACGGCACTACCTTTACCAAGAGCAATCTGCGCCTCCAGAGACTCCCAAGATAAGTCGAACTTTCCTACCAGCGTTCTCTTTACCATGTTTTTGGCTGCAGTGGTACTGTTCTCCAGTTATCCCTGAGCGAACACTATCCGTCTTCCATCTACGAGAGAGAGTATCCCAAGGGACTCTGTTTGTTTTCACTGGTCGTGGCCGAAACCGTCTCGCTGAAAAATCTGTTGACCATTGAGATTTACTAGGTGGTCTTCAATCTGAATACGACCATATCGGCTATTATCTTGGTAATTTGAATTGCCTCCGAGTCCAGGGCTTACCAGTGCCTTCAGTTATTTGTTGAAGTCGTCGATATCACACAACTCATTGCTGTTTCGGTCAAGTTACTGACGTATTTATTCGCAGATGATTTTCCACTAGAAATCTCCAATTCTTCCACCGATCCTTCATACCAATCCTCTCAAAGGTCATAGCACTCCTTCACGAGTCATCTTCTACGATAAATAATCCAACCCAAATGCCAGAATACAATACGGAGCTCACAACGAAGATCAGATGGTTCCCTAGGTACTTACCTTAGAGTATGGCAATACACTTCTGGGGCCGAAACAAAAGATGTTACAACATAAGAAGCGAAGCGAAAACAATGGCAGTTGAACCAGTTTCTAACTGTCGTCCCGGAGGAGCTATGCCAAAGGCGGGCTTTCAAATGATTTGAAGAACAATGTGGTATGTTTGCCTCGGCCGTCTACTCTTTTCTATCATGTCTATAACTAACGTGTTTTTGCCTCGACAGTCCAATACTGCTCTCCGATCAAACCTCGAATCCTACGCAATCGAAAGCCCCAAATATCCACCAAAGTCATTGATGCTATATACAACCACATCCATAATCCAACCCATATTCTCGTCAATCCAACGAAATTCCATTCAGCAACTCGCTATGCTCCGTCTAAGAAAAACTCCACATCGTACAAAACTCCTTTTGAAGTAGATCAAATCCCCTCCTTCTTCACATTCGGCGGCCACCAAATCATCGGCGGAAACATCAACTCCTCCCCATACCCCTCATACACCTCCCACCCCAACGTCTTATACGTCTTCATCCCCTCCTCACTCGCCTCCAAATACGCCGGAATCCCCAACTCCGCACACCTATCCATCCCATACCTCACACACATCGTCGCCGCCCCCCGCCTCCTATACTCTGGATCCACGCACATGTAGCACAGCAGCGCAAACGGCCTTCCCTTCATGATCCTTCTCCGCAGAGCAATCTCCGGCTCCATGGTATCCAGGACAAGCTTCCTCTTCGCCGGATCCTCCACCCACTCCATGCGCAAAATGTAGTTTTCCACATTGTACTCCTCCTCAGTCCTCTCGCGGTCCCAAACGAACCACTCCGCGAACCCAACAATCTTTTCCTCTCCGGTAGTGGGATCTGTATACACGCACTTCACACCCGGCGACACTGAAGGGTATTTTTCAAGATGCTCCTTGTAACCACGCAAATGCCGCTCCGCGTTCAGCCTCCTCGTCTCCTCCGAATCAGGCCCTCCTCCAATAATGTCGAAATTGGGAAATGGCCCAAAGGCATTGAGGATGAGCTGCATACATCGCGGCATGTCCTCTTCTCGAGCAGGCTCGACACGGAATTGTCCTGGTGTGGATGGCATGGCTGTGTACTTTCTTCGCTGGACTCGAAATAGAATATCTTGAGTTTTACTGATCCCGCGAAGCCGTCGTAAAAACATGCTCATCAATTGTATGTTATACGCTATGGGTTCTTATAGGATTTTTATATAGAGCATCCAATACCTAATACTCCATTGCTGCTGAACACTGCTATTCGTCGGTAAGTTTCGCGCAAAGGATGCAGCCATAAGTGGGACGGACAGTGACTCCTCGCCGACGAGGCACCAATTTGTGATTGGCCCCAGATCAACTAGTCTTGGCCTCAATAAATGGTTCTGGCTAGGAAGAGTAGCATAACCCGTGATAGTGTCGCAGCAACGGAATTTCGGCACGGACTGTCGCAAAAGTTCCCTAGATGAAGAACATTCTTTTTTAACAATAGTCGGCACGTGTAAATTACGACCGCTGAGCAACATACAACAACCACAAGCAGCCATGCACAAGTTCAACAAAGGCAAGCGAAACAATATCCCCATCTAAATGCGCCGATATATTCTTCTCTATCTGTAATAATAGAGCAGCTATATATGCCAGTCCCCTTGCCATACAATCTCTTAACAGCTCGCTGGATACACCTACGGCTGCTACTTGCAAAAGGCTCCAAATCCAAATCAAGACTCCATGCATCGGAACGAGGAAAAAAAAATCCAAGTTGCCTAACGAGTGATGGAGGTACACAGGAAAGGAAATATGGAGAGAAGAGACACCCAAGGAAACTCCAGTAATGATTGAACATCCGCCGCTGCCCCAAGTCCAACGCGACAGGCAAACGAACGGTAACGACTGGAAAAGAAATTCAAGAAGTACAAAGAAAGAGAAGGAGATACAGAGTATCAGAGACATGGGAAAACAAAAGATAAGAGTACATAGGAAAAAAAGAAACAAGCCAAGAGAAATCCAGCTCCAGACATAATTTTATAATAGCAAATCGTTTTATGACCAGCGCAAATTCTTCATGACGAGAATTTCTGTTGCCGCTGTGCGCAAAGCCAGGCTTTTCATGGACAAAAGGAAAACATTATCGAAAGTAAGGAAGAGTTGAGAAGGAAAAAGGAAATAAAGTATAGGAAAGAAGTAGCACAACAGACAAATGCACACATCACAAAGTATGAGGCAATCACACGCAAACAAAGCACGGCATCAATTTTTGTTAGGGGAATCATAAAATCAAGCACGTAATCAAATTTGACTGGTGACAGTTCCCCAGAGAACTGAAATCTCCAACGCCGGTCGTGATTTGAGACTCAAGAAAATGGGGGGTGCATAGTGTCGTGTCAAAGCGCAGAGCAATGGTAATTTCAACGTGAGAAAAAATGACAAAAGACGACGTGCCCGAACGACGCAAATCAGTCCAACGCCCCAATGTTGCCCCAGGTCAGCCCATCAATCGGCTGTGAATAAGAAGAAAGGAGAGCATCAAATGAGAGTCGACAAAACCTTGTCCAGATCCCCGAGGCTGGTCAGAGCGACCAGCCGTCTCAATAGTGTCCGGCCGTCTCTTCAAACTTTACTACGCAAAATCAGCGGTCAGCCTCTCTGTGGTCTGTCTCCCAATGCGAGTCTTTCAATGTTCATTTCCTACCTGAGGGGGGACGGCGGGACCTGGGGGTCCTGAGGGGCCTTGGGGGCCCGGAGTAGGACCGCCAAAGTGGTGAGGGCCACCATATGGGTTAGGACCGGGGCCACCGTGAGCAGGACCGGGCATGCCCATGTAGTGAGGCGGAGGAGGAGCAGGGCGGTAGGGAGTGCCGACTCCAGAGTTGTTCTGAGATCGGCCCCAGCTGAGTCGCACTCGAGAGTTGCCAATGGGGTAGCCCTGCATCTGGTTGATGGCCATCTCGGCGGCGTGGCGGTGGACAAACTGGACGAAGCCGCAGCCCTTGCCAGGGGGGATCTTGACGTAGGTGATTTCTCCGAATCCCTGGAAGAAAGATCGAAGTTCGTCCTCCGTGACATAACCAGAAAGGCCGCCGACAAAAACAGTTGTGTTGTTGGGGTCGGTGAACTGGTTCATCTGAGTAGCTGGGTTGAAGCCGCCACCAGCACCGGCATTGCCGCCGTAGGGAAATCCTTGGACTCCTCCCCACATCTGCTGCTGAGGCATACCGCCGCCCATCATCGGACCGCCCTGGTGTCCGTGACCAAAGCCGTGGTTGCCACTGTAATACGAGATGGTCATGTTAGAGTCGGGTATTCTCAGTTTTAACTAGAGGACGGAGGAGTTGTCGAGCGTGTGTAGGTATAAGTGAAGAGTTGGGGCAAAGGAAAGAAGGGGGCTGGCAAAATGCGTGCACAAAAAGTTTTGGGCTGGTGCAACTTACCGATTCTTGGGAGTGGCAGTCGAGATCCTCATAGGACGGTTGCCGCAGTAGACTCCCTGCATTTCGACAAGAGCACGCTGTTGGTCGTTTTCGTCGGAGAAGCGCACGAAGCCGTAGCCGCGGCTCTGACCCGACATGGCATCCGTCATGATCTTGGCCGACTTGCACGAAGGGAAGCGAGCCTGGAAGAGAGAGACCAGAACATACTCGTTGACCTCGGGGCCGAGATCACCGACAAAGATGCTGTACTCGGGGCCGCGATCGTCGCTATCGTTGGTAGACATTAGAAACCAAATATTCAGCAGGAGCGAGAGTGATGATTAAAATTTCAAGGCAAGACAAGAAAAGCGTCAGGAGGAAAAAAAAATTAGGTGGCAAGACGCAAAAGTGCAATGGAGGAAGCCGTAACAGGGAGAGAAACAAAAATGAGGCAAGGCAGAAGCGGCAGATCGAAACTCTGCCTGAAGGTGGTGAAAAGGTAAATCCGAGGCGCCACGGTTACTGCCGCAAAAATGCGCATGTAGCGGAGAGGTACATGAGAAGCTGCAGTGGGGGAGGTACAAGCACAAGTACCTGCGCAAGGGGGAGAGAAAAGGTAGGGCAAGGCTGAGCACTGCAGAATTTCAAACAAAAACAAGCATCAGACGGACTTACCGTCGGTCAACCAGACCGCCGCCAGACGCCCAGTTCAGCTTGAATTGGCGGGAGCTGTTGGGCACAGGCGTTCCATTGAGGCCAAGCGCCTTGGTAGCGGCGTCGGGAGTTGCGAACTCAACGAAGCAGTATCCGGCGTTTCTGAGAGGGGAGAGCAGAGTCAGTTGAGTGGTCATGCATATCATGCGATTTAAGTCGATTGCTGTAATTCCTTCCCTTGTGCTAGGGAGACGAAAGACAACAAGCAATAGAGACCTTACCCAGAGTTCTTGTCGCGAATCACCTTGACGTTAACAGTTTCGCCAGCGGAGGAAAGGAAAACGCCCTTGATAAAGTTCTCGTCCATCCATGGTTCGAGCTCTCCCATCCTATTCCTCTTGTTAATCACACATGACTCGCCGCATGCTAAGTGGTTGCGTTATATCTTACCAAAGGGTGGTCTTGGCCTGATCCTGAGTAGGACCAGCGGGAGGAGGCACAGCCGACATGTCGGTGGCGGGAGGGGTTCCGTTTTGAAAAGCCATTGGACTGGCAGCAGAGATGCCGTTAGACGGAGCACCAGGAAAAGAGGAGTTCAGATCCATACTAGTCTATAATGTCTCATCAGCACAACAGTTCAAGATATTTTGCAGCAAACTATTTCTCTAGAAATAAGAGGAAGAAGAGGGATAGAGCAATGTGTCCTATGGCGTGCCAGCTAAAACGCTATTTCGCCTTGACTCATTATCTCGTACACCCGATCTGAGACGAGCGCCACCGGCTACTTAGCTCGGTGATTTTTGGGTGCGTGTAGATGTACATGCACAAGGCGAAGGGAACTTCAGACTCGGCAAGAGGGTTTTGTGAACGAGTAAGAGGCGAGACCACTTGGCCCATGATGGTCACGTTCAAGCTTAGGAACGTATACGCCTGGCTCGCGGAACCATGAGGGGGCATAAGGGAAAGAAATCGAAGACGTACCAATTACTTTATGCTTTTAGGAAACCAAAGTGTAATCTGCTTCAAGCTCGATTATAAACAGGCTTTCAGACTTTCGTTCCTTGCCGAAGAATGCTCAAAGACTACACAAAAACAAACAGTCAACACTATGCACCGTATTATCGTAGAAGCACAGTCAGCCACTAACCTAAATAGAAGCGAAATGGAGGTGACGTTCGAATCGAATGCGAAGATCGACAGCGAAGCAATAGAAGACCGATATAGAGTCTTGCTAAAGGGATTCCAAAGGAAAAAAAAGTGTCCGTATGAATAAGAGATTCTCAATACGCCGTCACGCCGCGTTCAAGATGGCAAGGGGACAAATGCGATGCTTGAGGCGGATAATGACCTTCTTTAGGATGGAGTCGAAAGATGATATCGTGGACCGATCGTATGTTCTACCGAAAATCCTAAAGGAGTGTGGTAAAACAGTTGGAACGCTCTCGAAATCAAGAAGAACCTAGATAGAGCGGTTAGCATTCAACGATGCAGGTGCAAGATTCTAGCAGCTGGCTGTGTAATGTGTGTGTAATGACAACAAAAAGGCCCCGACCCCGTGTGATGCGCAAAATGCCTGCCGAGATGCCTAAACCAACGAAGTGGCACATTCTCAGTAAGCCCTCTTTCAGCTTTCTCGTCCTTTTCTCCGGATGGTCCAGATATGATGCAAATAATGATCGTCAAGGTTTCGGCAGTGCGTATCTATTGGCTTTAAACTTCGGATTCAGGTGCGCCGCAAAGCTCAATGGTTGTAAGTTCGTGTAGTCATAGAACAAGGTATAGTCAGAGTATTCCAGGCGAGTATAAACCAGGCGCAGCGCAGGCTATGTTCCATATCCATCAAATTGTGAGATTGGCCGTGTTATTAGCCATCAAGCCATCCGGGAAAGTATTGCGCTCGTAATGGAAGACCGATTTGGTGGTGACAAACGGCCAAGGCACCAATCGCATGCCAACACACTCCACACTCGAGAATATCCGTCCAGTCGAGGACAACGCCTTAGTCTACCAATACCGAAATATTCGTTTCTCCGCGATCCGAGATAAGGGACTCTCGATGCGCTGGCGGTATTTGTTGGGCACGAAATTGCAATGCAGCTGTTCGCAGCACGAGCAGCCAACATCCACAACACCGAACTTGCAGCCCTGCCGAATATTTTTTCTCAACGACATCGACGTCGACAGACTCAAATGAACCCAACAAGTAATCGCATCCATCGGCTCGCCATGATTCGCAACGCCCTTCCGGTCTCTCTCGTATCGATTATCGTCCTTGATATTTCGGATGCCGCAATCACATGGTAGACCCGGCGAAGTGGGGTGAAATCGGATGGAGATCGTGCATCGCCCCGCGAGACGCCGAAGTGCTCCCGGAAGAGAAAATCCCGTGGCCACGATGAATCATGACGCTTTGCGAAAAGAGTCGGCCGATGCGACGCTCATGATTTGGACGCGATAGAGCAGTTGAGAGTTCGGGGCAGGGCCGAATGGCGACGGCGCAAGGCGGAAATACGACGCCGCATTTCGCCGCATGTGCCACGGCTGCGAATGTGAGGGCGCAACCACGGTGCAGTAACAGTATTGACTTGATCGATCGATTGCGTCGCCGAGTCGGCCGGGTCTCCAAGCGCATAAGTCTTGACCACTTGCTTCGGCCTCGGTCCATGTCGAGATTGGCGAGTGCGTCGCCGCGGCTCCAGAGGCGACGTCCAATTCGAGTTTCGATCCATCGTTCCGCGCGCAAAACCACACGCTATTCGAGCCGGGGCACGGACAAGAGGGGAAAAATTTCACACGAACAAGAAAAAATAAAAATGCAACGAGGCAGTCGGGAAACGTGCAACTTACTTTTAGGCGCCGGCAAAAACAACCGTAACTCTCTCAGCCGATAGTCCGAAACACGCGCAAGGGAAGAACCGTAGCAGCCGTGACGAGAAAAAAAGAGATGAAAGAGGAAGAATGTGTGATGGAAGAAAAGAGTCAGTCGCGGGACGCCGTGCGGCAGACGAAGCGGGCGAGCTTTTTTTTTTCTCTCTCCCTTGTCCGAGCTGGTGCTTGCTAACTGGCCCTCTTTGTTGGACACACACTTGTCTGCTCACACACTGTTGAGTCTGCACAGCCTGGACCGGGTCGCGCGGGGATTAGTTACCTTAGGCGAGGGCAAGGTCGAATAATCGACCAGGATCCAGCCAGGGGGGGCGTGTGTGTATTGCTGTGTGAGACGTCGATGTGGGCGCTGCCTTTTTGGCGGCCACAGGCGATCTCTTGCTCGATCTCGGGCCCGTTGGTTGGCCAAGCTGGCTTCAAAGGGCGCTGAAACAGCCCACAAGGTCAAAATTCCACCCACACGGACGAGAAACCAGATGGTACGAGGCGCTCGTAGCTGTTGCTGCTGGCGCTGCCGGAGCTCTTGTGGGAGAGGGGTCGCACCAGAGATGACGCTGCTGCTGCTCAAGGAAGCGTTGCTGTGCTATCGCTCGAGATGTTCCTTTTGCTGCAGTTGCAATGAAACAGCAAGAGGCAAGGGATGGTAATGGGGGACGAGGAGCAGCGGTAGGGATATATCAGACAGCCAAGAAAAAGAGGTACTTTGCAGCAATATTGGCCAAACAGATGCCGGAAATTGTCAGATCTCTAGACAACGGAGCGCAAAGATGATGGAGCGAGACACACAACCAATCAATCAAATCACACGGCGATGAATCAATCAATTCCTGTGTACTTCGCAGACGACAACAAACGGAAAGAGTAAATAACGCTGTGGAAGAAACAGAAGAAGGGAAGGAAAGGCGAAGAGGGAACGACGAGCACGCGTTGTATTATTATTCACTTGCTGCCTGCCGCCGTTCTCAGCAATTGAGGCCCCAAAGCCCTCTCGTCCTGCTGCGAAACTCTGTGGCCTGTGCCAGATTTGAGCGAAGCCATTGATGGCTTGTTCTTTGACTTCCAGGGCGTGTACCGAGCAAGACGCGCGTGGCGCCATGGTGGAAGTTCCTTGTCTGGCTGAGGACGGCGAATAGGCTCAGGCAATTCAACTGGCCCAAGACTCTCTCGCCTGGCAAAAACCGGGGACCCAAGGGGAGAAAAAAGAGCCAGTTCTTTGAGGATGGGCGCCACAAAGACAAGCCGGTTCTTGTTAGAATGTTGGTGGCGCATCTCCAAGCTCAACAAGGCCCCCAATGTACCTGCCAGGTATACTTCGGATGTGGTCTCGTGCGTTTCGCTTTATAGGTGTCAAAGAAAGAATATTTGCGGCTTTGTTAGCAGGCAGCAAACCCGGCAGAGCAAACCGCTATCGAGACGATTCTTCCTGAAATTGTCAAACCCAATAACGTTGCTTGTCACTTCTGCTCTTGTCCTTTGACTATAAGCAGCATCGAGAAGACTCCGCTCTGTCAGACCGCGGAGATGTATTCCGGTGACTCGGAAGCTACGAAATTTTCAACTATTTGCCGCAGCATACCGTTCAAAAGAGTACCTTTCTAGTTATGCCTTTTACACGGCTCGGTCATGGAGCATGCGGCAGCTCGCACCGTCATCTTTCACGGAGCATCTACTGTCTTCCTCAGTGCCAAAGCCACGAAAGCGTCTCCGCCCAAGAGCCGGAAACATCTGCTCTTTGATACGCGGGCTGCAGTAAAACACACTGTCCCCATACCGTGCCATTGCCCTGGTGGGCCAAAACGCTCAGAAGCTTCCAGCGGACTGTCCGACGGCGTGTCGCTAGTTGCCAACGTCGGCTCCATTCTCAGGTTCGTTGTATTCCTAGTGCACGTTTCCATGTGGCGATTTAAACAGTGCACTCAAAGACTTCTTGACATCTCGCCGTTTGCGGCTCTGACTGGCTGGAGGACATGGCACTTGTTAGTGGACCTGCGTCTTGCGTAGCAACATTTGGAAGCCGAAAGAAAGGCAAGACACAAACAAGGAGAGGCACCTACGGAACCGGCAAAGTCATGCTGGATCCGATTATGCAGGTCACAGGTGGGGGAGGCAGTCCTAGCTGTGTTTCTTTCATAGCTGCCAGATCGACGCAAGGCAGCTCAGAGTACTTACAATGATGAAACAGTTCGATCATAGACCATGAGCTCGTCTACTAGGTACCTACTACCAGACGGCTCAAAGACGCTATGACAGATACCGCAGATGCAGGGCACAATTGTGCTATCCGATGCCGACATCTCTAATGAAGAGACACAACCCTGCGTTTGGTGGCCGGGACAAGCAGATGGCCATCAATGCAGATGTCTCAGCCCGCCATGCCTGATTGATGGTAAACAAATTGTTTTGTCTCAACGCAATTTATCAAGGAGCGACCCAGAGCAACACTACAGGCCAATCTCATAGGTGAAGTCCCAGCCACAGGGTCTTGGATGGCTCACCCGCGTCTCAATATTGTAACGCGACAGGACGGCCTATGTAACTTGGAGCGAATCAGATCAGTCCCTGCGTGCGGATGCGTGAAAAGTGACCCTTGAGAGACGAGATGATAATACCTTCTTGATAATAGAGGTCAACAATAGTGCTAGTATTTCATTCACTATTTTTATCTCTTGTAACTAACTACCGTATCTTCTTTGCCTTGTTTTACCCCTGGTGCCTGCAGCCATGATGGCGATGCTACTGTAAACCACCACACACCTTATTTTCGGTACGTACCGATCGTCACAACATCATCAGACCAGAAGAAAAAAGCAACGTGTCTTTCAACGTTCTTCCATCCTTCTACTTCATATTGCTACCAGACCGCATTTCCTACCGAGACAAGCACAAGCATTAGGCAAAAAGATACACTATTGTTTGCGCCGGATGGCCCTAGCGATGCTACACAAAGACAAATGCAGCGGCCAACAAGCGCATTGTGATGCCAGGTCACATCTCCCACGCATGCCAGACGCGCACAGAGAAAGGTTGATGTGGCTCTTAGATTTTGGCCCTGGCAAAAGCTGCTGCGTCCCGGGCCAATCCTAGTTAATGCGCCGGCCATGGCATTGTCGTTTGCGCTGAGACTGCCGTCGCAATTCGCGACAAATGCGATCACCAGGTGTCTTAAAACTTACATGCACACGGGAGCATCTGTCCTATCAGCAACGCCCCTGCATGATTACGTGCCTCGAAAAGCTGACAAGGGAGAGTGCATGCAGAAAGTTACAAAGGAAAGCAGTACAGGTACTCATCGCTCCGTCAGGGCATTGCTGATCGCACCTCTGACAAGCCAAAGCTCCTACATCTCCGTGATTCACAACGAGGCCTTCCAGGCAAAAGCTCTCAAAGGTCTGTCCAAAGAGGCCCGTCCTGCCATGTGGTATTCAGCCTGTGCATCCCGCCTATGGATGGATCTTGTTTCTGACCCGTCACGATCGTACAGGGCACCACTTCTACCCCTCCTCACCCCCGGCTTCTCAGCACGCCAAAGAGACCACCCCCTCCCTTGTCCGCCTACCTCGAACCGCAGGGCTTTGGTGGACTTTGGTTGGGGAGCGGCATCGACGAGTGGCGCTCCTGCACAACACCCTCTGTCCAAGGCCCCCCAATGGGGGACGTTTCCAGGTATCTGGATGGCCGCTGGTGGGTTAACCTTGTGAGAAGAGGTGTTGGGCTGGTGCGTGTTCGACATGGGAGCTCGTTGTCTCCTGCAGCAGTTTGGAGTATGATTGCAGAGTGCTACCTCGTAAAGGCCAGGTTTATCCCTCCACGAGGGCACAGCTTCAGCCAGTCAGCTTCAACAATTCGACAAAGGTTCAAGCGCTTCCCCTCCCATCGCCAGGGCGAGTTAGATCGTTCTAACGCCGTCTCTATGACAAGCATAATCAAGGACGAGCAGGTTGCAAAGCTCTGCATCCATCAGGTATCTTACTGTACTTCCCAAGTGATGCAAGCAGGGGTAGAAGAAGAAGAAGAAAAACAAAGAAGAGCTCGTTGCATACCTGTACGATTACAGTACGGCCCGCGAAACCTAGGCCGAGCATTGTCAGCGGATTAGCAGCGGTTTTGCAGCTTTGTTCCTTCGTCGCATGGATCTTCCACCACAACCCCTGCCATCCCTTCTCACCCATATCCAGCTGAAAGGTCACCCCCCTCGCCTTGAGCGGCCTGGCAACGCATCTTGTCAGCTCTGGATGTTATTTAAAGTCACCGCTCTTCTTGCTTGTCGCCGCCCTTTGACGGGCAACAACACGGGTCGTTGGACCATTAGCTGGCCTCAGAGCTTCCCCGACATGCAGAGAAAATGATGGACAGAACACAAGGCAGCCACCATCTCGCATCATCCCTAGACGGCATGGTGGTAAATGCAGCTTTTTTTTTCAATCAGAATGGTGAGGCGTGTCTCTATACACTGCGGGGCTTCATGACCTAATGAATGTTAGTTTGGCAAAAGCTTTTCATACACCACCGCATCGTGAACTCGGCCACCGTGGGTCGTTTGGGACAGACCAATGTTCATTGGGCCATCACTTGCGTAACTGGCGACCATCGTGGGTCTCGGCATCCAATGACCACCAAATCCTGCCCTACGCACGCAAGTTTTTCATCATCAGCTTACCTGACCGGCCCATGCACAATGCATATGATAGAGTCTACTGCAATGCTGGCTATTTGACGGCGAAGGAAGTTTATGCTTGGTTCGTATAAGCTCGACTCTAGAGTGCGAAGATGGTAGACTACTTCCAATCACAAAGGTAGGGAAAAAATTCGCCTCCAGAAGTTGACACGGTCGGCCGTCGAGGCGCCGCCGCACTAAACCGCCGCGCTTCTTTGCCATCACTTTTAGCCCCCCGATTGTTCCGCTGTTATGTCGGAACCGGGGCTCACAGGATGATGGCCGACATAGGCCGCCGATTCGGAGTTTGAAGACTCGGGTTTCCCTATTGGTGATTTATGCTTTGAGGGTTTTATCACATTGTGCCTGTGAGAAGTATTCCACCGTAGCTCAACAGAAGGGTATGTCACATCTCTCTGTGAAGAAGGAGACAATGGCATCCTCGTTTGCAACAGTACTTTTTAGGAATACTGGTCTATCGATCTCTTGCTTGCTTATAATTTGGTCATTGAATCATTGTGTATCATTGTCACATCCTAGTCAGCAGCATAGGACATCCTCCTGAGAGAACAAAGTGGGAATAAGTCAGCAACCAAGTGAATGGAAACTGATTGATACACAAGACCATGTACATTCAGCCGTAATTCCATTCTTTTTATATCAAAAGCATGCCAGTCATGCTCTTCAAAGCAGTAGTGCCTAGGTCTAGTGGCCTTTATGTCGGTGCTACTCCGCACGCCATTAAGTTGACAGGATTGGCTCGGGAGATCGGGCAGATCTAATAGCAACCCTGGATGGCTGTGGCTTGTGTCAGCGCATCCAACAGCGTGCTCGACGACGATAACTACAGTTTGCATGCCATGGTATCGATATTTCTCTAGATATCAGCCGTAGAAAATCATTACAGCAAAACATATTCGCCTCTTATATGCCAGAGCTCGATAGGAAGCTTGCTCCTAATCTCACGTGGCCATTCACAGAGCGCATGACTGCTTAGTCATTGTTTACTATGGGCATTACGCCAGTGTGCTGGCCTAAAGTGATGATGCACTGATGGAAGCCTCAAGCTTCGACCCAAGCAAAACTTCCCTCACTATCTCTGCACATTTCATCCACAACCTTTTTTCTTACCATCACACAACATTCCACACACATCTTGCATCACCAAAACTTTATTTTTCTATCAGCCTGAGTCGTGATAGTATCCCTACTACTCTCCTTCTATTGTTGGGCACCGGTATTTCCCTGCACTAGCCGCTGGTCCGGCCCAGCACCACTCCTCCAGATATCTCCAACCATGACAACCGTGACTCCAGAGCAGCGAGAGCTGCAGCTAGTAGAAAGCGTCGAGTTTAGAATTCTCACCGTTGCCAATGATGAGGATAAGCTCACCGACCTCCTGGGGCGCTATTTAGCCCCCATCATTCTCAAGGCACAGAGCCCCAACGCTGCCGTCAGAAACAAGGTAAAGACTTCTCTACCCACCTATCTTCCACACGAAAGTTCCATTTGTTAACGCTTCTCAGGTCATCACACTATTGAGTCGGCTGAGAACATTCATCCAGCCTCCAAGGTACTGTCGTGTTTCCGTACTTTTGTGCGTAACAAGTAGAAACCAGATTACTAACTGTAGATAGTGTCATCCTACCTGTCAAGGCACTGCTTGAACAGTACAAATCAACTGACAGTGCCATCATCAAGCAGCTGGATTTGCCACTCATCCAGCACAGTCTTGGTCGTCTTGATGAAGACGATAGACGGGACTTGATTCCCATCGCACTCAAAGGTTGCTCCAAGGATGAAGGCCAACCAAGAGCTGCCAGCTTTTTCAACATCATTCTTCAACTCCTGATTGATGTCCGCATTCCGTCACGCGGAAGCAAAGAAGACGAGACTCTTCGAGCTTCCATTGGTTTGGAAGATCCTGCTGATGCAAAATATCTCGCCAAGATGCTCTCTCTTTTTCTACGCCTACGTCCCCCAACCCCCAGCCGGACGGTGGCTGAATCAAACCCAACCTTCTCAGAAGATGAAAGCAAAGTCTTCTCTGTTGAAGGTCCTGGAACTGATAAAATCTTCCAAAACATCTCACAGGTAAAGGCTAAGGCTGTTTCATTCTTAGCCAGTGCTGCCTTTACCGATGAAGAAAAGTTCCTTCCTGCCCTATACGCCTCGTCCAGCCCCGACACCAGAGTGGCATCTCTAGCAGAAGAGATTATCAAACGGACTTCAGTCTCCCTAGAACAGGAAGACTTAGTGAAGAGGCTGTTTGAGGCCCACTCTCGGCTTCCTGCTGCCTATCGCACACGGATTCTGAATCTGCTTGCCAAATCGACCATTGCATCAACAATGTCACAGAGCATTATGAATGTGGTGAATCTTGACTTTTTGCCAAGTTTCACACAAGATTCTTCGACAGATGCGCTTAAACCATCAAGCACGCTAGAGAAGACAAAGCTACACAAGGCTCTTTTCCAGTTTCTATCCTGGGTTGCTCAAGTTGGCCCAACAAATAAAGACTTCTCGATTGGACCAAATCTTATTAAGAGCATGCAAAGCTACATCGAGTCCCAAGGGTGGCCTGTTCCTGTGCAGCAAATAACACACGATGAAGTTCAGCTTCGCTCGCGAGGTTATGAAACTATTGGCATGCTTGCGCGGTCCGCCGATATGCCTTTCAAAGAGCGGATTGCTCTAGCTGCTTGGCTCTTCCAATCCTTGTCAGAAGACCCAACAAACGAGGCCGTGGTCAACATTGACGGAGCGCTTTCAAGTCTCACAGCAAATATCCCTGAGCATATTGCTGACGAAGATCTCGAATTGAGGAATATGCTCCTCAAATACATGTCTCTCTCTGAAAAGGCACCTGCTGTACGAAGCACTCGACATGCAGTTGTCAAATGGGCCAATGAATGTCTATCATTCACAAACATTGATGCTCGATGGATCAATTTTATGGCTGTCGCTGGTCGCCATCAGGAGAGGAGTGATGTGATTGAGCAAGGGCAAAAAGGTCTGGATCCATGGACCTACGCCGCTCATAGAGATGTAGCTCCTGTCATGCCTGACTGGCGACTGATGGTTTTCAAATACTTCAAGACTGACCCCGATCTTGCACCTCCTGCCGACTATGAGCCTGGCCCTGGAGTAACAGCGCTGCCTAATGACAGTATCTTTGACAATTTCAGAGGGTCCAACATCAATGCTTTTGCTCTGATCATCCAGTATTGCAAGCATATGATATTTCTCGCGGCACTGCCCGAGTTCGAGGTGCAGCCCGACTGGATGCAGACGCTTAACGCACAAATAAAGACCAACATCAAAACTAGGGAGAAGATTCAAGAATACTTGCGATACGTCGACCTTTCTTATCTCAGCATCTACCTCAATGCATGTCTTGTTGGCGCTTTTCTCGAGGATGCTCCCATCACAGAAGAGTGTCTTCGCTGCTTTGTCGACATCGCGTCTCTTTCTCCCAGAGTCATTGTCGGAGACTTCACCAAACACAGAGTTACCAATCTGCTCCCTCTTATTAAATCTAATAAGAGTGAGATACGGGACTTGAGCGCGAGAGCCCTGGGTATCTTGGCGGCTCATCCAGCAATGGACATTGATGACGTTCAAAACTGGGGTATGACTCTCAATGCTTTGTTTGAGAAGGCCACGACGGCGGTTGGTCCAGATCTCAATGCTGCAGAAGGAGCCCTCGCCGCCTATGGACATCTTTGCTCTCGATCTGTCTTATACAACCACGCATCTGTGGCTGAGTGGAAGTATCCGCTTCAAATCCTCGTCGAGGAGAATGTTGCAGGATCTCTATTTGATGCAGCCGTCGAAGCTTTTACCCATCTTTGGCTAGCAAAACTTTCCATCCCTCCAAAAGACGGAGTCACTTCTCTTGACAAGATCATCAAAAGGCTGTCCAAGAAGGCCAAAAAGGGAAATGAGAAGGCGATTATTGGTCTTGGGATGCTGGCCGCCAGTATACCAGACGCTGAACTTCCAGATTCACCTGCTTCGTGGCCAGAAGGCCCAGTTGGTACCATCTTGACGGAGCTGTTTGCTCTTCATGAAACCAAGCGGGTGGAGGTCCATTTCACCGTCGGTGAGGCCATAACCATTGCAATCGCTCGCTGGGACTCGGACTATGTGAAACTCATGGTGGATGTCGAGTATCGGACCCGCGACTTCCAAAACAAACGCCGGGAATCGCTGCTTACAAGCATTCTGGACAAACTCTTCGAGGACTGCAAAGCAACCAAGCCATCTCTTCTGAAGGCCTCCGGTATTTGGCTTTTCTGTATCTTACAATACTGTTCAGATCTCCACGAAGTAAATTCTCGCCTCCGACAGGCACAAGCCGCATTTATGCGCCTTCTGCCCTCGAGGGATGAGTTGGTTCAAGAGACTGCTTCGCGTGGCCTTAGTCTGGTCCACGAACGCGGAGATGAGCAGCTCAGGGCAGCTCTGGTGAAAGATCTTGTAGCTGCATTTACAGGATCGGCGCAACTCAAGGTGGATGGAGATACCGAGTTATTTGAACCTGGAGCATTGCCGACCGGCGAGGGTAGCTCGATTTCTTCGTACAAGGACATTGTCAGCCTCGCAAACGAAGTTGGTGACCAGGGACTTGTCTACAAGTTCATGGCTCTAGCAGCCAATGCAACTGAATGGTCCACTAGATCAGCCTTTGGCCGCTTTGGTCTCACTAACATCCTCTCAGATGCTGAAGTCGACCCTAAGATATATCCAAAGCTCTACCGATATCGATTTGATCCGAATACCAATGTCCAACGATCCATGAACGAGATCTGGAAAGCTTTGGTGAAGGATCCAAAGACGGTGATGGACGTTCACTTTGACGCCATCATGGAGGAGCTGCTGAAGAGCATACTCGGCCGAGAATGGAGAATGAGAGAAGCCAGCTGCGCAGCCATTTCTGAGCTATTGACCGGCGTTCCGTTCGAACGGTATGAGAAATTCTACAGCGATATCTGGGCAAAGGCAGTAAAGGTCTTTGACGATGTGAAGGGAAGTGTCCGAGAGGCAGCTTTCAGGCTCTGCAGAAGCCTATCCAATACTCTTGCCAGACAGCTCGAAGAGGGAACTCACGAAGCATCAGCCAATGCTATGATGCAAAAAGCATTGCCCTTCTTGTTGTCAGACAAGGCTGCAGAGAGCTCAGTTCAAGAGGTGCAAGTCTTTGCCATCATCACCCTCATCAAGATTGCGCGACACGGTGGTAAACATTTGAAGCCATTTATCCCAGAGGTGATCCCGAAGCTTCTCGGTCTTCTAAGCACCATCGAGCCTGACCGCATCAATTACTACTATCAGCAAGTTGGGGAGGATAGCCGAGAGAAGATTGATAAGATACGATCCCAAATGGTTAACCAATCCCCCATCTCCGAAGCTATCGACAACATCCTGCGGTTCGTTGACGAAGACGTGATGGTTGAGTTGGCCCCGCGCCTCGAGGCAACTATCAAAACTGCGATTGGAATGCCAACCAAGATTGGCTGCAGCAGGGTCCTGACGACCCTCTTTACTCGTCATACAAACGAGATCAAGTCTGTTTCTACTCAATTTTTGGAACTACTTGGCAAGCAAGTTCTAGACAAGAACGATGAAGTTAGCCAAGCTTATGCTCGCGCATCTGCATACATTATGAGAGTCGTCTCCGACAGCGCCAAGCAACGCTTTTCGGAGCGCATGCTGAATCTTTACCTGCAGTCGGAAGATGAAGTCCGTCGCCAGAAGGTTTCAGACGTCATTGTTTCTCTCGCCAAGATATCTCCCGATCACTTCACCACTCAAGAGACAATCCTGTTGCCATTTGCTTATCTTGGATCTCACGATGTTGATGACTACACCAGCAAAGTATTCCGAGAGGTGTGGGATCAACATTCTGGCAGCAGTCGAACTGTCGTTCGCTATGTACCAGAGATTGTCAGCCTTGTTGAGCGTTGTTTGGCCACCACCCAATGGGCGCTTCGACACACCGGTGCTTTCACAGTTGCCGCCATGGTCACAGATGTAGCCAGCGCGAGCGATACCACGGGTGCGATTTCTGAAGCCAACTTGAAAGCCATATGGCCCGTCTTTGAAAAGGCTCTCGCTCTCAAGACTTTCCCAGGGAAGGAGAAGCTGTTGGAAGCATTCCCTGAGTTTATCGAGAAGGGCCAGTCTCTGTGGAGATACAACGCTGATATTGCAGCCCTGATGAAGAAGATTGTTCTCCGCGAAGCAAAGCGAAACAATGATGACTACCGTGTTCATGCTTTCCGCTGCCTGTGGAGATTTGCGAAAGCAGTAGATAGTGTTGACCTTTTGCAAGACATCGTGGACATTGTGTCTCCTTACTTGGAAGATCTCAAAGATGACAACAAGATGGATGTGGACTCCAAGGAAGAAACTGTGATCAACACTGCGAAGAATGGACTCGAAGCTGTGGCACGCGGATACAGTCGCTTGTCAGATAGACGAGCATATGCCGTTGCCAGCCAAGTCATCAAGGCCCTTGAGCCTTATCTTTCCAGCCCCAAATTCAATGCGATCAAACGAGAGGTTTGGTACGAATCTGTCATCGATCTAATGAAAGATCTTGCGGCATCCGAGCCCCCCGCAGACTCGACATCACTGGATAAGGACGGTGTTTTGCAGGGATATCTCGGCAGCCTCGATGTGGACAAGGCTGAAGTCGGGGTTGAGTCCCAGAGATTGAAGAGAGTGGAGGCAGTTTCCGCAACTCTCAAGGCTTACACCAGTGGCGTCTTTGGGAAGTCAGATGTACAAATGGACGAATTCGAAGCTGCTGTGGTGAAAGCCAAGGAGGAAGAACGTGTTCCGGAAGTGCAGAGGGGTTGGCAGAGAGTGTTGACGGAATTACAGGAGGCGCGTGGTTGAGAAATCGGATGTCATGTATAAACAGTGAATTATTTGCTTCTATCTAGCTAACAATATTGCTGCGAGATTATAGTTTTGGTCGTCCTCATGATTTACTGAGGCTCATAGGCAAATAGTTCCTATTATGGCAGATGGCCACTCAATGAATGAATCATGTTCATGAAATCAAGTGACTACAGTGATGTTAACAGTATAGCTAGTCTATTCTTTACTACTAAACGAGTAATTATGATTTGATAGTGATAGTTTGCACGGTTCATGGCTGAAAGTGACTCGACCTTCTACTTACTAGTTCGTAGCTTTACTTCGTCACTCGGCAACATGCCCTCTATAATTCTAAACGTTGCTGAAGAACTAAATCGAATTGCCTGCGTCAGCAATGCCACAAACAAAGTATCACAAAGAATCATGGAGCTCGTCTGCGGCGATGCGGGGATTTGGGTACAAGATTGGAGGACCTTAGAGGTACAGCTTCAAGAGCTACAGCACTTTAGCCCCACCAAACCAGCCGCGGGGTCATTTCCGACTGAGCTCATCAAATATCGAAGGACAGACAGATCGACATCCAAACTCAATTCAAATCTCACAACAACCCTCGAGGACACCTCTGCCAAAATGTTGATCAAAGAGAGCTACGCGGATGTGCAGACCAAGGTGGATGGAAAGGAGACGACGATGCGTACGTATCTACCTGTCCCTACATAATAGCTAGGCGAGTTGTCAATCATTGTGAGCACTGCGAGTAACACGGCGCATGTACAGGCATCTTCCTCTTCCACCCTACCATTCCACAGTATCCCGATGCGTAAGTCGAAATTTGTTTGTTCTATGTGTGGCTCGTTTACTGAACAATACCTTACGCAGGCGATTCCCGGGTGTTGCCGTCTTCTCGGAGATCTACCAAGGTAAAGTAGCTGTCATATACAGCAGCCCAACCTCATCATGATTGATTTGACCGTTCCCTGTTGACACGCCAAAAGTGACGGGACCGGTTGCCCGGTTCGCACGACAGATTGCCGGCCAAGGATACATAGTAGCTGCCCCTTCGTCCTACCATGACTTCACCGGCCCAGAGCCCTTGGCCTACGACGTTGAAGGAACCGATAAGGGCAATGCCTGGAAAATCGAAAAGGTATCGAAATGATCCGTTGCGTTGCTTCTTAGCATCGAGTCGGTAAATATGCTGATATAGACTGCTAGACGCTGGCATCTTACGACGAAGATTCGTACAAGACGGTTGACTACCTGTTGAGCTTGCCTACCTGCACCGGAAGGATTGGGACAACCGGAATGTGCCTAGGAGGTCACTTGGCACTTCGCGCTGCGGTAAGAAAAGGAATTCAGATTCTCATGCACCAGTTTTGGAGTTGACAAATCTCCGTGTTCGTCTAGCTTGACCCTCGTGTGAGCGCCTCAGTCAACTACTTCGCAACCGACGTCCACAGCCGAACCCTCGGCCCCTATGAAGCCGCCAACACCTCCGAGGACGCACCACCAAACAGCGACCATACGCTGGATAGGCTGAGCGAGGTCAAGGGAGAAGTCGCCATGATCTTCGGCATCAAGGATACTCACGTCCCGGATAAAGGTAGGGACTTGATTCGCAAGAAGCTCCGGAATGCGGGCGTCGTGTTTAGCTTTTACGAGTTTGCGTGGGCTCAGCATGCGTTTATTCGGGATGAACTTAGTAAGGGGCGGTATGATCCGGCTATTACGAAGGTTTGTTTTGAGGTGTTGTTGGAGTTGTTTGGGAGGGCGCTTAAGACGGATTTGGGGGTGAAGGATGGGCGGCCGGAGGAGGTGGAGCATGTTTGTTGAAAGGAACGAGGGATATGGTGTAGCATGAATGGGCTGGCTACCAAGTCTAATCTTTTCATGGTTGAAGAGTAGAGCCGTAGTGTAGTCTTACTATGGTCGAAGCATAGAGGCATAGTCTCATCGCTCTGCGGACGTCTCGATCATAGTACAAAGCGTGCTCGGCTACTACTTCAGAGATTGTGAAAAATCAACTAAATCATCTGTATACCAAATTGATCACATCAGGGCCTGTGACCAAAAGCTACCAACTTCGATCATAACAGGCTAGGGACTTTTATAGCGGCACAGATATTCTGGGTTTCGTCGTATTGCAGTGAGATTTCGTCTTGGATTTGGTGAACGTGGCCAACGATAAAAACTTGCTACATTTTACGGATTCCCAGCTAATTCCTTATGTGTTGATGAATCACTCATCGCATCGAAAATTGTCTCTTTATTTAACGTGACATATCACATCACAGAACAACCTTGAATGATGCATCTATTCACAGAGAATGAAAAAAAGCAAAAGCCCAATGCTGCCTGTCCAGCTGCAGGGTAAGTCACCCGCATCGATTAGCATCTGACGTCTGGCGGGCGGCGCTAGGAATGATCCGGCTGATGGATTGATTGTTCCGGTGATTGGGTACAAAGCTCTCGCCTGTTCAGGTACCCGCCCGCAAGAGATGCCGCAGGAAGTACCTGCACAGTCGATGGCGGGGTGGTGCTCCAACTGTTCAGTGTTGCGTCATGCCCGCGGTGCCTGTGGCGTTCAGTAACAGTAACCGACTTTAGGTGCTGAAACTGCTTTATCAGTGGGTGGTGATGTGCTGAACTTGAACCTCTCCATACACGCAAACTCTACACTGTCCACCCACATCCTCACCTCAGCATTTAGAGATCCATACCTCTCTCTCTTCCACCCCTCGATATCTTTTATCGGTTCCTCTGCCGGCTGTACCTCGAGTCCAACGGCAGTTTCATATCGAGTCTGATTCAGCCAGGCGGCCAGTGTGGGGCACCATCTACTAAGTCGAATCTGACCGGCATTTCTTGCAGCTTCTCAGATCCCGTTGAAGTGCGACCCAATCACCGCCAGTCAAGCGTCTCTTCACGAGCACGACCCGACAAGATACACCGAGGGATCTGCTTAAAGAAGGCAGCAGACACAACTCCCACCAGCTGCCCCTGCAGCCAACGAACCACCAAACAACCGGGGGGGCTTTGACCAGCCATGGACGAGAGCATTCACCACTTCGTTAGCATCACCGGGGCAAACCTCGATGTGGCTCGGGGCTTCCTGGAGATAACAGGCGGCGACTACCAGCGTGCCATCGAGCTGTACTTTGAGAGTCCAGATCTCGTTGGAGCCGGTGTGTCCCATGGCACCCCTCCCGCCGCCTCAACATCTCGCCCTGCCCCTGCGTCTAGGAGAGCCAATATCGGCAGAGAAGACGCTAGCGGGGTGATTCACATTAGCGATGACGACGACAACGACTACGACGATATGGACGCGGACGATTTTGACGATCACGACGAAGATGAGCGAGCTGCTGTTGCGCAAGCTGCAGCGCTGGCTCAAGAGGAGGAAGATGCTGCTATGGCTAAGCGTCTACAAGCAGAAATGTACCAGGAAACGGGAAATGCTGGTGGTGATATTAGGGCACCTATTGCTAGGACAACAGAAACACTTGTTGCCCCGGATTCCACTTGGTCGGAGGAAGAAAGCTCAGCTATTCTGGAGCAACTTAGGAGGAGACGCCAGATGCCTCGTAAGTCCCCCCGGAAGCAAAAGATAGGCAAGGAAACTCAAAAGAGACTAACCACCTTGTGATAGCCCCAGGTAGAGGCCCCTTTGGTCATCGGATATGGGGCGATGACGGGGCCCGGCCTGAGCCCGCGTCTGGGAACGGCGCACCATCCGCTCATGCTAGACGCCTGGAGGACCTATTCCGACCGCCCTACGAGCTGATGTATCGCATATCATGGGACGAGGCTCGCACATTGGGTAAAGAAGATAAGAAGTGGATCATGGTCAACCTGCAAGACATGAGCGACTTCAATTGCCAAATGCTTAATCGAGACATCTGGAAGGATCGAGCTGTTCAAGACTTGGTGAAGGAGAACTTCATCTTCATGCAGCTGGATAAAGATTATCCTGACGCGGAGGAATACATCACATTCTATTTCCCTAATCAGGGCCATGAAAATCCAGACAACTACCCCCATGTGTCGATTGTCGATCCTCGGACGGGTGAGCAGGTCAAGGTCTGGAGCGGAAAGCCATTCCCCAGCGCTGTTGAGTTCCACGCCGAAGTAGCCGAGTTTTTGGACAGATACAGTCTCGCCGCAAACAGCAAGAACCCCGTCGCTAGAACGGCGGCTCGGAAGCCCCAGGTCATTGATGTGGACCGTATGACAGAGGAGGAGATGCTGGAGATGGCTCTGAAAAATAGCCTGGCGGGGGCTGAGGCCAGTGGCTCGGGCTCGGGATCAACACCGAGCGTCCATGATCCCGATGCGCTGACCAAGGAGCCTCAGCAATCAGGCGATCAGGAAGCACAGAGTCCGTTTGACCAGATCTCAAGCACAAATCCCCACACCGAGCCCGCCAACAATCCTGCCACGACAACGCGTATCCAGTTTCGACACCCAGACGGACGTGTTATCCGGCGGTTCAACCTACAGGATGACGTTCGTACGATGTATGAATGGCTCAAAGCAGAGCCCTTGGAGGGCAAGGCAGATGTCAAGTTTGAGCTGAAGAGAATGCCCCAAGGCCAAGATTTGATCGAGCTTCTCGATTCCACCATTGAAGAGGCGGGCTTGAAGCAAGGAACAGTGATGATAGAATTCGTTACGGACGAGTAATGACACTGGGGCAGGCTCTTTTCCTTTTTTCACATTGCATGACGAATGACGACATACGTGATGCCGGAGCGCGACATGTCTCTTGATCAACGCCTGTTGGGCGTAGCCAGGATGGCGATGAGGACATCTGCTTGATATAGACAACATGGGATATTAATACCCATTATGGGCGAACCGGTCTTATGACGATTGGCTTTGGTTTATTTGCTGCTGCTATACGGGAGGGAACCACTGTTTACAGTCGGGTGAGGAACTTGTGTGCTACGAAGCGGCTATGGCGGATTTAGTTGCAGGGACTGGGCATGTATGTGCTTTGCCCCTCTCAAGGCCTCCTCGTTTCATTGTTTTTTCTTATTTCTCTACAGTCTAGGTAGTTTTCCTTTTATCCCTTGGAGGCGCCAACCGGCGTCGTGCTTTTGCTAGTACAGGCAGGTAGACAATGCAAGTGCTTTGACACAACATCAGTGAGCTTTCTTGGACGGCCCGTGATTGGCCCAGTATCCATCCCTTTGACTTCCATCGTGACGCTGTAGAACCACGGCCGTATTATTGAGTTTGTTAGTGTCTGGCCGTGTCTGCGATGGGTGTTGCCCCGCAGAACCCCTCGAAACAACGGCGTTGGTGGGAAGATAAACAATAGGCGGCTGGCTAGTGGATTTGTTTTGGCGATGACGATCTTTTTGTTTGGGGCAAAGTTACATGTAGCCTTTTGGATGAGTTTCGAGTGTAATTGCACTGACTCTTGCATGCAGCTACCTGGTACATGTAGATATATGAACTGTTAGTCGATCAATCTATGCACAAGCGCAGTCGAGTCGCCAATGTGACGTCGTCGACCGTTGATTTGATTTGTTGCTCCCTGTTGGCTAATCAGATTGTCAGATGCCTCTCCTTGCTCGTGTTGCCGGTGCGACGGGATCCGGGCAAAATCAATACTAAACAAGTTTACAGGCACCGCAGCGGCCCATAGTGGGGTTCACCGCCCGCCACAGCAGGTCGATGCACCAATCCCAGGGACTGCCGCTCATCACATTCAACCACCCGCGGATTTGATTCATGTTAGCACATGCCTTTTGATCATTCACCATCGCCATTGTCGTTGTTGCGAGTAGGCGAGGCTGTCTTGGGTTTGTAATTTTCTATAGCGACGAGCATCAGCATTTGCCGCGAGTAGAGTGCATGGCTTTATGATCTGCGACGACGAGAGCTGGCCCCGGACGAGCGCATACGAATACAGCACCATAGCATCTCGCATTCCCGCTTCTTGGTTACGGCTGCAAAGGGAGGCATCGGAGCAGCGCCATGGCGGAACCGCATCGGTATGCGGAAGAGGCCAACGAGGCCCTGGATCCGGAGCTTCTGTATACAAAGGAATACTGCATTGGTCAGTCTGCTGGTCTTGGGAGAATGGTGTCTTGGAGAAGGTCCCTAACGCTGTGGTGCTCGCAGGCGGTGGTAGCTTTGGCAAGGTGTTCAAGGGGTATGTCCTGACCTGTGCGGGTGCCTCCAGAAATGTTATTTTCTGACTGGGTTTTGCTGACTTTTTGCTTCTCTGTTATCCCGCTAGGGTCGATAAACGAAGTGGTCGCTCTGTCGCCATCAAGATCATCGATGTTGAAAATGCCGAAGACGAGGTCGAAGACATTATCCAGGAAATCGCCATCCTGTCCGAGCTGCAGTCTCCATACGTGACAAAGTACTACGGATCCTATGCAAAGGGCGCCGAGCTATGGATTGTCATGGAGTTTTGCGCGGGCGGGAGCTGTGCCGACCTTATGAAGCCGGGTATCATGGGCGAGGACTACATTGCAATCATCATAAGGGAGTTGCTGATGGGTCTGGACTATCTCCACACGGACAAGAAACTGCATCGGGATATTAAAGGTGAGGGCTCGAGCTCTTCTTCTAGACGAGCGTCGCGGGTCAATCGGTTTGCTGATGCCATAGGATAGCGGCCAATGTACTTTTGGGGGCCAACGGCCAGGTCAAACTGGCCGATTTTGGCGTGTCGGGTCAGCTTTCTGCCACCATGACGAAGAAGAACACGTTCGTCGGGACTCCGTTTTGGATGGCACCAGAGGTCATTAAACAATCTGGATATGATCACAAGGCTGATATTTGGTCACTCGGTATCACGGCTCTCGAACTTGCGAATGGCGAGCCTCCCTACGCCGACATTCACCCCATGAAGGTCCTCTTTCTCATCCCGAAAAACCCCCCTCCGAGGCTGGAAGGAAATTTTACAAAAGCATTCAAGGATTTTGTCGAGCTGTGCCTGCAGCGAGATCCCAAGGAACGACCGACGGCCAGGGACCTTTTGCGACATCCATTTATCCGAAAGGCAAAGAAGACTACATATCTTACCGAGCTGATAGAGCGACATTCCAGGTGGGCGGCGACGCACAAGACGGACGAGGAAGAGACATGGGATGCCCATGAGAGTGCGCCACCAGAGAGAACGCGAGTCAACGAAGACATGTGGGATTTTGGCACCGTCCGACTCGTCAATGACCGTACCGGCGTCGTCAGCCGGGCGCCCATGCTCAACCCGCTCGGTGCAAGTGCTACTAACACGAGGGCCACGCGGAACTCTGCCGATTACGGTGAAAGACGGCGCGAGCCATCCAGCCCAACAAAAATGAGGGAGATGGCACTTCAGCCGAGCGATACGCTCAAGGCAAAGGATCCGGCCAGCGCGGGAGCATCACGGCAATCGAGCCCGCAGCGGAAATACACACCCACTCAACAGCAGCGTGGCTTTGTGTCCAAAGCGGCTCCTCCGCCTCCTAGTCCTGTGGTAATTAAGACTACAAGTTGGGAGGTTCAAGAGACCACCCCGAGATCTTCAAAGATTATCACAGTACCGGCCATCTCTCACCCGGAGCCACCCTCGCCTGACTACGACCGGGAGCTTCAGGAACACTTGCAGCGCGACATGGGGATACTAAACCTAAATATAGATCTACCTGATCCCGTGCCTACACCCTCACCTCCTCCTCCCCCGGCGCCTGCGCATAAGAAGATTTCCATACCCCCTGGGTTTGAAAAGTTCGAAAAGCCGGTGCCGCCTGCTCATGGGGTTTCGCCACGATCAACGAGCGGTAAGATTGCACCGAGATACGACGTGGCAGAAATCCCACCGTTCAGAAACCCTTCGCCAAAACCGCAGCCTCAACCGCAGTCTACCGTGCAGCGAACGGTAGCTCCAGTTGTGCCGCTGTCGCCAGTAGCTCGATTACCGGCTCCATCTGCACCAGCACCAGCACCCGCCCCTGCTCCGGTTCCTGCTCCGGTTTCTGCTCCTGCTCCTGCAAAAGTGTCTACTCCATCAGCGTCGGTATCCTCATTGCGGTCACAAGGCCATTCCCCAAGATTGTTGGAAACATTTCCTTCGCCTCCGGCTCCGAACCCCAACGGAGAGCTCGATGCTCTCAACGACGTCATCTTTCCTGCGCTTGAAGAGGCTCTGAAGCGACGGCAGATTCGGCTCCAGCATATGTACAAGTCTGTGCCCAGCGGTTCAACCGTGTCGTCGAAACAGCAGCGAGCCGAGGCTGCTCATGAGAAAGTTCGCAAACTTGTCTATAAGCTAGCACATGTTTGCAAGGAGATTGACTACTATGATAAAGCAGAACCCGTAGGTATGGGACGGGACGTGGGGAACTTTTTGGAGGGACTTCTTGAGGAGATTTTGGTTCGCGTTGAACCACTTGACGAGGACGAGGCGTAAACTACTGCACAAAACAGAACTCATGATGACGAGATGCTAACGGCCGACACTTGTTTTTGTTTTTGGGAAACGGGAATCAAAGTAAGTATGCTACAACAAAGGGAAAAAAGAAAGACAACGAGGGAAGAGGCATGTCTAAGAGGCCAATCTCAGGATGGGAAGAGGCATGTCTAAGAGACCAATCTCAGGATGGTAAGGTGTTGGATATGAGAGGACGGGATGCGATTGTAAGAGTGATGGAAACTGGAATGAATGAATTTGGGTAAAGCAGGCGTGGTAAAGGGCTGGAATATCTTGTTAGAGGGGAGTCACAGTCTGCTATTTTGCTTTGTTGTATACCGCGGAGGAGTAGCAATAGAAATTTCCGATAGCTTTTATTTTTTGTGAATGAATGAATTGATGATTACAAATTAATGAGGATGCTTGATTTTGATATCGTATAGTGCGAAGTACTCTATCAAGTGCGAATAAGAATAGCAATTACTCGTTCATGACAAGGTTGTCTTTCTTTGCTGCTGTTATATCCTCACCATCCATTAGCGATAAGAAACTACTGTTGGCGATAACTACCCTCGCCTAGTCCCAAACAGGTCAAGCACTACAGCCCGGAGCTGCGCTCGGAAAGACGTCGCATTCCGTTCTTTGTGCCGAACTTTCCAGCCAAAAACCGGGGCAAAGGAACTCCTAGAGGGAAAAAAAGAAAAAAAATCCAGCCAAGCGGAAAATAATATGCGCTGCAGCGGCGGCGCCGGCGCAGGCCGAAAGAAAGTGCTCGGCTCAATTTGGCGTACCAAACGGTCACTGCGGTAATTTGGCCCAGGGCGATTTTTTGAAACCTGTTCGGAAAAAAAAAATACAACTTCTTCTTCCTTTCTTTTTCTTCTTCTTCTGAACATCTTAACTTTCTTGCCTCTCTCCTATCTCTCTTTCTTTTTTACTGGACTAGGTTCCTTGTTTCTTGGACCGTGCACCTCTACTTGATTAGCATCAGGCTGAAATTATCGTCTCTTTTGTCAAGATGCTGTCACGAAGCTCTCTCCGGACCGCCCAGGTATGTGGCTTTGTTTTCTATTTTGCATGTGGATTTGCAATGGCAGATTTGGGAATGGGCTGCAGGTTGGATTGGCAAGAAAAGAGCAGTGGAACGAATGCAGTATACTCTTGGATTGTGTTGTCCTTGAGGACAGAGCAGAAGAGATGGAGGGGCTGGCTGGCTCTGAGCCGAGGTCTTACTCGCGAGATTTTTTTCCTCAATGGGGGGGCCTCTTGGAAGATGCAGTTTGGAACAAAGGATAAACCATAACCAACATCAGAAACTGACTTGCAATGTCATCTACAGGTCCTTCGCGCCGCTGCCCAGCCCCAGCAGCTCAGCCGATCCTTCGCCACCGTCCAGTCCGACATCTTCAAGCCTGCCAAGTTTGGCGGCAAGTACACCGTCACCCTGATTCCCGGAGACGGTATCGGTGGAGAGGTTGCCGAGTCCGTCAAGACCATCTTCAAGGCCGACAACGTGCCCGTCGAGTGGGAGCAGATCGAGGTGTCCGGTGTCGAGGAGAGCGCCCTGCGAACCGAGGAGGCCTTCCGCGAGAGCGTGGCCTCGCTCAAGCGCAACAAGCTCGGCCTCAAGGGCATCCTGCACACGCCCGTCAGCCGCTCCGGCCACCAGAGCTTCAACGTGGCCATGCGCCAGGAGCTGGATATCTACGCCAGCATCTCCCTGATCAAGAACATCCCCGGCTACGAGACCCGCCACAAGGACGTCGACCTGTGCATCATCCGTGAGAACACCGAGGGCGAGTACTCTGGCCTCGAGCACCAGAGCGTCCCCGGCGTCGTCGAGTCCCTCAAGATCATCACCCGCGCCAAGTCTGAGCGCATTGCCAAGTTCGCCTTCGCCTTTGCCCTCGCCAACGGCCGCAAGAAGGTCACCTGCATCCACAAGGCCAACATCATGAAGCTGGCCGACGGTCTGTTCCGCAGCACCTTCCACCAGACCGCCAAGGAGTACCCCACCCTCGAGGTCAACGACATGATTGTCGACAACGCCTCCATGCAGGCCGTCTCCCGCCCCCAGCAGTTCGACGTCATGGTCATGCCCAACCTGTACGGTGGCATCCTGTCCAACATTGGCGCCGCCCTGGTCGGTGGCCCCGGTATCGTGCCCGGCTGCAACATGGGCCGTGAGGTTGCCGTCTTCGAGCCCGGCTGCCGTCACGTCGGTCTGGACATCAAGGGCAAGGACCAGGCCAACCCCACCGCCATGATTCTCAGCGGCAGCATGCTCCTGAGACACCTTGGCCTTGACGACCACGCCAACCGCATCTCCAAGGCTGTCTACGGCGTTATTGCCGAGGGGTAAGTGGAACTCGTTTCTTCTTATTTATATGATGAGAGTTTTTTTACTGACAATTTCTATAGCAAGGTTCGCACCCGCGATATGGGTGGTGAGTCCACAACACACGAGTTCACCAAGGCCATCCTCGACAAGATGGAGACCATCTAAATACCAAACCCAACACAACAAGCCTTACATCAAGCGCAAGGCAAACCAAACAAGACTTATTAAAGAGAAACCAAATTTACCCCAAACACGACCAATCTAACAACCACACCTCTTCTCACACATCTCGACCGGCGTGTTTGGGAACATGATACCTCAAACCTTAGAATCCGAGGCGATGCGGAGCGACGCCGCTGGAAAAGAAAAAAACTGATATAAAGGGGCAGAGCAAAAAAGTTTCAAGGGCCAGAAAAAAATGGTTATTGGGGGGAAGGCGAATATTATTGAGAAATGAGGGTGGTGGTGGGAGAATGACAAGGGGGGTTGTGTAACTATGGTTGACATGAGCGTATGGAGTCTGAATACATAGAATTTTACAGTACATGATTATTGCTATTTTGGCTTGAGTGTCTGGGTGTGATTGGTTTGTTGTCGACGGGACTGCTAACACAATTATTATCTATGTATATACATAATTGTTCGTTGGACTTCCTCGCGTTCGTTCAGGTATGAGCATGGTCCGGCTGATTCAGTGCCACCATATTATATGTCACAGCAATGCCGGAGTTTTCATTTCTTCTTCTTTTGTATATACCACCCAGTCTAATAGATCTATACCTAGTAAAAAAGTAAGTACCCTCTGTGCTCCAAATTTTCTAAATCAAAAAGCAACGTCCAAATCTACCTGTAGAGACAAGTTCGACATGTTCTTCAAAGGCTCAGGCGTCGTCAACGCAGCGACAATCCTGCCAAGGCCCTCGTTCAAATAGTCCATGTCATGCGAAAACACGATCCGGAACCAGCCCGGCTTCTCTGATCCGAAACGCACGCCTGAAGCGAGGAAGACTTTGTGTCTTAGTAGGGCATCCATGACGGCTTGGTCGAGATCTTCGGGCTTGGAATCTTGATGTTTGAGATATGTCCTGCCGAGGTCGGCCCAGATGAAGAAGCCTGCATTGACGCCGGTAGCGTAGACGATGTCGTTGGCTTTGGCCCATTTTACAATGTATTCGTAGTAGGAGCCGAGTTTTTGCTGGTTTTCTTTGATGTAGTTTTCGACCCAGACGTCGTCTTCTAAGGCATTCGCAAAGACATGTTCTGATAGGGATGAGACGGAGGATAAAAGCACGGCGGGAGCTAGTGCCGTCATCAAATCCACATTATGCTGAGAGATGATGGCTCCCAATCGCAATCCATTGGCGCCGAAATCTTTGGACATGCCCCAGAGACAATGCACATACGCCGGATCTATCAACCCCGTAGGATCGATGGAGAGAACAGAGTAGAAGGGTGCTGGAGGGGGATTCGTGTCGATTTTGTTTTCAAATATCGATAGAGCGTAGATTTCGTCGCTGATGAGGTGAAGCTTGTACTTGTTGCAGAATTTGAGAAGATCAATGAGGACGTCTCGGGAGTAGCATCTTCCAAGGGGGTTATGCGGATGACACAAGAGGACAGCAGAGACTTTTTCGCCATTTGCTCGTGCTTCGAGAAGTCTTTCCTCGTATTTCTCGACGCAATTGGCTCCCAGGGGATCATCTTCCCCGAAATCAACGAACCCGAGCTTCGTTCCCGTACGCAACGTCGCATCCCCCGGAAAAGCACCATAATAAGGCCTCCCAAGAAGAATCACGTCCCCGGGATCTGCAAACGCCCACGCCATGTGCTCAACCGCCGAAGTACAACCACTCGCAACAGCAACATGCTCCGGCTTTATAGGAACCACGGTGTTGAGATGTTTGGTGAGGAAGCTCGCGATGGCGGTGCGGCTGCGCTTGAAGAAGTCGCCGTAGGTAAAGGCGGAGGTGGGGACTTTGAGGTTTGCGTGGAGGTGTTGTTGGAGGGAGGCGTGCATGAGGTAGTTTTCTGCGACGCCGAGGTTGACGTAGCCGGATGGGTTGAGGGTTGGGTGCCAGTTGTCTGAGAGGATGGGGCCGGAAGGGTCTGGGGTTGTGAGCTTGGAGGCTCGGGATGAGAGGGCCATGGTGAGTGTGAGAGTGTTTTCTATGTAAGTGGCTGCGCGTCTCTGTTTTGGTATGATGATTCTTTCCTTTATTGTTCAGAAACTGTTGTGAGACCAGATTATATGATGAGAAAAGTTGAGTACCGTATAAAGTTTAAGAGAGTTGAAAGAGAGGAGGGGGCTTATAAGTGATCCATATTTTGGTGAGAGGTGAGAGTAAGATAGTGTTTATTAGTTGAGGACCGCCTTTTAGTCATTTAGCCGGCGAGATACGAGGCCAGCCCCTCAATTCGAGATAGACAAGATGCTACGACTTGGGCTATCTATTTTATTCCCGCAAAGGCTGCTATTCACCGATTATCTTGGAGCGTTTCGGTGAGTCTTTGGCCGAGCGGGTGGTCGGCCGAGTTGCGGACGAGACTTAATTGCCTGTTCCCCGTGTTACTTGGTATGGTATAGCGGGGTTCTCTGCGATACGGCGATGATGTATATACTCGTAAAAAAGTACGAAATATCCAGAGTTTCGAAATGGAGTATTGTCAGAAAGTATCTAATTTTTGTAAACAGATAAAAAATTCAAGGCTTAGATTATTTAAGCAGTAGTAGTCGCTGGGTCAAAGGCTTAGGTGGTGAAGCTCACAATGCGCAAGAAGCTTCAAGTATACTTAGGCTCTATGTCTCATAATTCAGTGACTCAACCAATGCAAAAAAAGCCTTTTCTACACAGAAATACAAAAGGCAGCGACAGCCCCCAGAAACGGATTGTGCATTCCAATCACTCGGCGAATGCTGTTAAAATATTAGAAATTCGACAGCATTTCTACCGCTACAAGCAGCAGCGCGCCGCAAGAGTCAAAACGCACAGGCATTGGCCGGATCGGGGAAACCGAACCCCCGTCCGAAATAAGGAAAAAAACCCTGGCAGCCAACCCCTCCATTGGTCGCATGGCGGGGTGACTCCGATTTCTGCGTATGACTCTGCGACTGTGATATTTTTTTTTCTTATTTATTTTGAACCGGCCCAAGCGCGATATCCTCCGTTTCCCGCAAAAAACAACCAGATACCACGAAAAATCGCACACCATGGCGGACAATCAACCCACTACCGGCGATGCTGCCGTCGATGCTGTCGCTGCTGCCGCTGGCAAGCTGCACCTTGACGAGGTCACTGGCGAGATGATCTCCAAGACGGAGCTCAAGAAGCGCCAGAAGGCCCGTGAGAAGGAGGCCGCCAAGAAGGAGAAGGAGGCTGCCAACAAGGACAAGAAGCCCGCGCAGGCCGCTGGCAACAAGAACGCCGAGGCTGCCGAGAAGGAGCTCACCCCGAACCAGGTATGCGCTGCTGATTGGAGATGATGGCATGCGAAGGCAGCTTTGCTAATCCGGGATGATAATAGTACTTCGAGATCCGATCAAGAACTGTCAACGACCTCCATGCCAAGGGCAAGGCTTATCCTCACAAGGTGCGCTCCTAAAGATACTTGACAACGAAGCCAAGACGACGCTGGTTGCTCACCAATTCATAGTTCCACGTCACATATGACATTCGCAAGTTCGCCGAGGAATACTCCAACCTCAAGAACGGCGAGATGAACAAGGACAAGATGATTGCGCTCGCTGGTCGAGTCTACGTCCGACGATCAGCAGGCAGCAAGCTGTACTTTTACGATATCCGCTCCGAGGTATGCCGTGCCACGCCTCCCTTATTCAAAAACAGTCGAATCCGGGGCTAACGATTTACAGGGCACTCGTCTTCAAGTCCTTGCTCAGGCTGATAACCGTGAGGAGGGCACTCCTGACTTTGACGAGCAGCACCTCAACCTCCGCCGTGGTGATATCATCGGTTCGTACATGGAATTTCCATTGTCCAAGAGCGAGACCTCTTCTAACTCGCTTTAATCTAGGCATTCGAGGCTACCCTACTCGAACCAACCCCAAGAACAAGCAGGGATCCGGCGACTTCTCTGGTGAGCTCTCTATTGCGGCTGTCGAGGTCGTTCTTCTGTCACCATGCTTGCACCAGGTAGGCCACTGTGATCGCGTGACTTCATCCTATTCCAGCTTTCTGACTCGTTTTAGATCCCCGATGACCACTACGGTTTCAAGAACCCCGAGCAGCGATTCCGCCAGCGCTACCTCGATCTCATGATGAACGACAACGTCCGAAACGTCTTCATCACCCGTGCCAAGGTTGACTCCTACATCCGCCGTTGGTTCGACGACCGGGACTTCATCGCTGTCCAGACTCCCATGCTCAACGCCATTGCTGGTGGTGCCACCGCCAAGCCCTTCATTACCCACCACAACGATCTCGACATGGACATGTACCTCCGTATTGCTCCTGAGCTCTACCTCAAGATGCTTGTCGTTGGTGGATTGAACCGTGTCTATGAGATGGGCCGACAGTTTAGAAATGAGAGCATGGATCTGACTCACAACCCTGGTAGGTTCTGAGTTCATCACGTCTTTGTTTGGCATGGAACTAATGATTTCTGTCTAGAATTCACCACTCTGGAGTTCTATATGGCCTACGCCGATTACTATGACCTCATGGACATGACCGAAGAGCTTGTTACCGGCCTAGTCAAGCACGTCCACGGTTCATACAAGACCAAGTACCACAACATCAAGGGCGAGGAGGTTGAGATCAACTGGGAAGGCCCATGGCGCCGAATTGAAATGATCCCCACCCTTGAGGAGTGTGTTGGCGAGAAGTTCCCTCCTGCTGATGAGCTTCACACCGACGAGGCCAACCAGTTCTTCAGAAGAGTTCTCAAGAAGACTGGTGTTGAGTGCAACCCTCCTCTGACCAACGCCCGTATGCTGGATGCCCTTGTTGGAGAGTTCCTTGAGTCTCAATGCGTAAGTTGATTTCCCGGTGTTGCATTTCCTTCCCTTTCCCTTCCTTTGGCTGACACTGTTGCTTAGACCAACCCAACCTTCATTACCGGCCACCCCAAGATGATGTCTCCTCTGGCCAAGAGCTCCCGCAGCGTCCCCGGCCTCTGCGAGCGATTCGAGGCTTTCGTTTGCAAGAAGGAAATCGTCAATGCGTAAGTGTTTCTAACTTGACACTTTACCAATATTACTTGCTAACACATTGTATAGCTACACCGAGTTGAACGTCGCCCTTGAGCAGCGTGAGCGATTCGAAGAGCAGGCCCGACAGAAGGCCCAGGGTGATGACGAAGCCCAGGGCGTCGATGAGACCTTCTGCAAGGCTCTTGAGCACGGTCTCCCTCCCACCGGTGGCTGGGGCATGGGTATTGACAGAATGATGATGTTCTTGACCGACAACTACAGCATTAGAGAAGTTTTGGCTTTCCCCACCATGAAGCCTGAGCAGAACACTGGCTCAACAGAGAAGCCTGCTGAGGCCACACAAGCATAGAAGATGTACTTTGAAAGTCTAAAAAAATCTGGAAAAATCAAGACGAAGAAAAAATGGATAGTGACGAGGGGTGTCCCGTCAACGGATGAAATATTGACGAATATGGGTAGAATGTTGTTCTATAAAGTACAGCATCTTGATATTGATGAATAAAACAATAAGCATTTTCCTCGGAAGCAAAATCTAGACTACTCTAACAAATCTGTGCGGACTTGGAGTTGACCTGACTGATAGAGGGTATCAACAATTTCCTATATATCATATATGTCTAAAAATTCTCCAGAAAGCAAATGCGCCACCAACGCCTATACCATGCATCACAAGCTCGCCATCCAACATTGACATACAGCCCGTTTTTAAAATTGTACACGACGCTTGCGGCCGGTGTATTTGGATGTGGCCTTGACGATCTTGCCCTTGCGTTCCATCTGTTCCTTTTTCTTGACAATCCATACCTTGCTGCCCTTCTTGACCTGGGCGTTGTTCGCCTTGAGCCTCTTCCTGGCGTCCAAAACGTCGACGTTGTCCATGCCGTCCACGACGCCCGTGATGTCTGTGTTGCCGCCCTCGTTGTCGTTGTTGCCGACGGTAAGGACGAGATATAGCTTGACGTTCTTGGTGCCGGGGTCGTCTTCGAGGATACCCGCGCCGAAACCCGCCTTGACGGCCGCCTGGGTAATCATGTGGCGCTGCGTGTCGTTTTTAGGATAAAACTGACACACCGCACGGCCTCCACGACGCAACGAAGCGTACAACCCGTTGAAAAAGCGGTTCAAGCGCCCCGTGGGCGAAGTCTCGCTCGACTCTGCGCTGCAAAGCCACTGAATCGCAGAGATGCTTATGGCGGCGTCAAAGGTTCCCGCGCGGAAGGGCACGCCCTGGCCAATGTCGGCGAGCAAGAGGTCGCCCTCGACGTCGCGCTGCAGGGCGATGTCGAGCATGGAGGGGGAGACGTCCATGCCGACCCAGACGTGGGGCCCGCCGTCGTCGGGGTCGACGGCGGAGAGGATCTCGCCGGAGAGGCCGCTGCCGCAGCCGATGTCGAGGATGAAGGAGGGGGATTTGAGGTCGAGCAGCTCGAGGGCGCGGCGGGTCATGGAGGCTTGGATGTTTTGGATGCGGGAGGAGGTTGTGTATTTGCGGGCTTCGATGTCGTCATAGTGGACGTCGGCCGCGCTGGAGTTTTGTGGTTAGAAATGAGGACGGACGATGATGGCCATGATGGTAGCGTGGGGGGAAAAGAAAGGTTGAGAGGGAGAGGAGCTTACAGGGAGTCCTCGGGGCGAGACATTGTGTGAGATTATAGTGTGAGTTTGTCTCGATTGGCAAGATTGACTTGTAGATCCCAAGCAATGCGCCTTGTGAGAAAGGGTTATGTTAAATGTATTGGTTGTCTTTTTTTCTTGGATCATTCAGGTTGCGATGCGGGTGGGCGCATCGTGAACCATTTTTTTGTGGGTGTTATCGATAAGGATTTGCTTGCATGGCGCATAAATAGCCAGGCTCACATGTGAATAGCAGTCAACATCAACATCAGCTATGGAACGAGCACTGCTGCAATTATTGATTCTTAATTATAGATTTTCTATAATTTATAAATAGGATATCGATGCTCGCTTCTTCTTTTTTGTTTTCGGTCAAGTGCACATTGCACAGCTGCATGCATCTCTTCGTTTGCATCCTCATCAGCTCGCCTCGGAGCGGGAAAAGCTTTAGTTCCGTATGACGACAGACCCACGAGATCCCATGCAGCTCATCCCAGCTATGAGCACATGAACGTGTCCACAGCTAACCTTGTCTAAGACGACCTTGTCTCCTTCTTTTTTCTTTCCACCATTCTTCTTCCCCCAAGCTTCTTTTTGCTTTCATACACCTCGTCGCCTAAATTAAAACTTGTGCTTGTCGATATAAGCTTCCAGCAAAGATGTGGATTCTCCCCCTGCTGGGCTACGCCGGCGCCATCCTCGGCTTCTGCTTCCTGACGCTGTCCATCGCGTCCGGGCTTTACTACCTTTCGGAGCTTGTGGAGGAACATACCGTCTTGGCAAAGCGGCTGCTTACACGCCTGATTCAAATCATCATCGGCGTGCAGGTGGTGCTATGGCTAATTGACGGCTTCCCCTTCTGGGCGACCGTTTTGGGTATTGTGTCGCATGTCGTCTACCTGGGCAACATGAGGAGGTTTCCTTATGTGCAGCTCACTGACCCGCTGTTCCTGCTGTCGTGTGGTATGAATTCGAGCTTGACTTATGGATATAGAGGTACACTGCGCTAACATGGATCCTAGTGTTGGTGTTGCTCGATCATTATGTGTGGTTCCGACACTTCGCCGACAGCCAAGCGCGCGCTTACAACCGAACCTCGTACTATGAGCAGGTGGACGTCCCGACGTTCACCATGATTGCGTCATACTTTGGCCTGTGCGTTTGGCTGGTGCCATTTGCGCTGTTTGTGAGCTTGTCTGCGGGCGACAATGTGCTGCCTACAATGGGCACGGAGCCTGTTCGTGGCATGGAGGGCAAAAGCAAGCCTCAGGGTATGGTCAAGGCCGTTGTCGACTGGGTTCGCGGCTTGATCGGGGATATGGCTGGGTCCGGAATGGACCGGCCATAAGAACATGTTGGTTCTCTTTCTTGGAGACGATTGTTAATACGCTGCTACGAGGCCGGCCGGCCAGCTTCGATCGAGTTTCTGAGATGAATGTCGCGCCGAGCATCTAGGACGATGCATCTCTGGAACAAAGACCCTTTCAGAAATAAGTGGGCTTTAATCGCTAAAGTCTATTCCTTTGCGAGGGACCAACTCGGCAGAGATAAAGTCTCCCTCTCTTACTTCCTCAATGTCTCATGCCCTATCATGAAGATTATCGAGCCTTCTATTTACCTTTCTACTTTCGGCTGTGGAAGACGAGACTGGCACCCCGAAGCTCTTACAGGCTGGCAGCAGTATTCAAGCCATCGACTCAGACGATTATCCCAATACTGAAATGACCTACTAGCGGCGATAGTCAACGTTGGCTACCTACCCCTCGACGATAGTATCAATCTTATGGAACGAATGAACTCTGGCAGCAGTGGCATCATGACTAGCACATCCGATTTTCCCCTGATTGCTTCAACAAAAGAAAGGATAGACTCGATGGGACCGGCCTATTCTTTGGTCCATTATGAGTGGGCTGCAGCTCGTGGAATCGTGAGTGCTTTGCGATTCCTGGCCGTCGGAGTCTTTAATAACATATTCATATGCAGGACCAAGAGATTGACGCTGCAAATCGCATATAATTACCATTCTGGAATTCATGCCTCTTGTGTCTATCTGAGATGGAGGAGTTACCATTCTACTGATACTGAACTGTTGTTGTATTCAATAGCCATTACTTGCGTTGGGCCCTTGGCGTCATAGGTAACATGTAGCGTGTTCTGTCACTGCAATATGCGCAATTCTCTTGCAAGACTTGATTAGATATGAGCTTATAAAGCTCGCTATGGAGCATCTTGTCATCAATATCCAAGAGATTTGTTTACTACTGCCCGTAATCCTCGATGCTAGACTTCGTGTTGCACTCAAGGAGCTGATATTGAAACCGAAGAGATGAAGAAAACTCGACTATCCCCAGATATGTAAGTGCATTGAACGAGTGCGTTGAACGTCAAGCATGCGTCTTGCGATAGGTGCACCGTCGTGTATGGTTACAAGCGCCACCAAATCTCGTATCGTAACCCTTTACCATGCGTAGAAATCCTCAGAAAGTCCATGTGTTTATGTCGTAACTCGTCACACAATACCCTTGCGGCCCTGCTGTACTCTTACACTTATAATACATGATTGCAGCCAACGCGCATCTCACTCCTTGCTGCCTGCGCCTTGCCAGAACTTCTTGTCCACCTTGTCATCGGCCGCGGTGTGACCATGGTCGAATTTCTTTTCAAAATCCTTGTTGCTAATGTAACCCCAAGTCAGCTTCGTCCCCCAAGGCTTGGAGTTATATAAGAGGTTGTTTGCTTACTGCTGCCGGACTTCCTCCTTTTGCTCCTTGGTGAGCTCCTCCGACTTATTAACGCCAGGCATGCTAAGATTGGAGATCTTGGGCTGGGGAACGGTGCTGCTTTTGGGCTTTTGCTCTGGTTTTGAGTCGCCTTCTTGCTTGATGGCGGGGACGAGGCGAGGGACGGTTTGGTGGAATGGGCGGATGGAGGTGCGGATGAAGCTTGTGGAGGGGAGTTTTCGGAGGTGCAGAGTTGAAGCCATTGTGTTTTGTGTTTCTGATGATTGTAAATGTGAATGCAATTAAGTTTGAATTTTTTGTTATGTAGAAATTGAAGATTTAAGTGGTTTCGAGCTTTACTTGTAAGCTGTTTTTGGAGATTTGCCTCCTTGGGTGGTGATCTGGTGTTGACGTCAAGGGGGGATGACATCATCAGTGTGGATGAGCTTTGGGGTTTCAGTAAGCGAAATCAGAATGATGAGCGATTGAGATATGAGATGTATTATATTTTTCTATTAAATTGATTTGGCTATTAATTATTCGCTATTGTAAAAAAGAGACGATATCGGTCTATGTGGGAATTAAAAATGAGAAAACCAAATGAAAGACAGGTAAATCCAGACAACGTTTTGACTTGATATTATATAACAGCAGCAACAAAGGAAACAAGTATTAAAGATGATGTCTTAGGCTTCGGGGGCAATGCGGATAAGAGGCGATCCCATACCGGCGCCCTTGCCCCAAGCCTCGTGAGCCTGCTTGATATCGTCGAGTTCCCAGACTGCCTTGATGGGCACTTTGATGGTGCCCTCCTTGACCATGTCGAGCAGCAGACGGAATGTAGGCTGGAAAGAGGACTGGTTGCGGGTAATTCCAAAGAATCTGGTCGTCTTGTTGGACCAAAAGTAGAGCGCCTTGAACAGCAGCTTGAACATGGGGGGCCAAATGGAGCGCGTCTTGCCGTTGGTCAGAGTAGAGAGGTTGTTACCGTAGGCGACGACGACGCTCCTCTCGGCGCTTGACAGGATATCATAAGACTCGTCAAAGCTCTCAAAGCCTAGGGCATCGAAGACGGCGTGAACACCGCCGAGATCTTTCATGGCGCGCATCCAGTCCTTGTTGGTGTAGAGGAAGGGATGGGCGCCAGCTTCTTTAAGAGCGGCGTGGTTTCGCTCAGCGGCAGTGCCGTAGACGGTTGCACCCTGGAGGAGGCAGAGATACATGATGCCTTGGCCGACAGCGCCGCTAATACCGTGGATGAAGACGCGCTGGCCAGCCTTGACCTTTGCAGTGCGGTTAACCATGCCGTAGGCAGTAGTCCAATCAAGAGCCATAGCAGCAGCTTGCTTGGGATCAACGCCCTCGGGAATAGCGATGAGGTGCTTCTCCTCAATGTTGATGTACTCTGCATCCGAGTCGTATTTGGTCATGGCGGTGACCATGTCGCCGGGCTTGAACTTTGAGCAGCCGGGCCCGTTGGCGGTGACCCGGCCGGCGAAGCAGTAGCCGGGGGTGAGGGGGGCAGACTTTTGGAGGGGGTAGATGCCGAGGCGCATGTTGATGTCGGCGCCGGAGAAGCCTGCGTAGTAGATTTTGACTTGGACGTGGTTTTTGGGAGGGGGGGCGATGGTGGAGTTTACGATTTCGAGGCTGGTGGCAGCAGGGCCGAAGGAGGTGATGACGACTTTGCGGTTGGGGATGGCCATTTTGTGAGTTTGTGGTGGTGAAGTTGTGGTGTAAGTGATGAGATTTTTCTCAAGAAGTGGCAAGATGTTGTATTAAATAGAGAAGAGATATTAAAGGATGATGATGCTTGAAGGTGATGATGTGTAAGAGATGCTGTTGCTTTGTTGCTTGATTGCTTGTGATGCTGAACAGATCTTCCCATCTCCAGGACCGGCGGCATCACGTTCTATTTATTCCCCCTTGGACCATCGCACGCCATCACCACCCACGCCAGCACCGCCCGAAAGTGAGCGTCATGGCAGCCCGGATTAGGAAATCGCGAGAACGAAGGGCCCCAATAACCTTAATCGGCCCCAGTTCACACCGTCAGCCCGGGGAAATATTAAGGACAGCGTCAAGCCCTGTGGAACTCCGTGCTCCGTGCTTTTCTGCTGCCCCTGTTTTTGGTTTGGTAGAGTCGCATCCATGCAGCTGGATTTTTGTCGGCGGCACGGAGGCTAGCGAGGGGGAACTTTGGGCCGGTTGGCGTTTGTGGCTGTTTTTTTCTTCTTTGTGGCGCGCTGGTGGCAGCTTCAGTACGCGTATCGGAGAGGTAGTTTTGGCGTCTTTTGCTTGAGTTGTAAATCCATACAGAGCCGGAATATGGAGCTGAATATTGTCAAATAAAATGTAAATTTTTTTTAATTTAATTGCTAATGATACCTTAAAACATTATTTGCCATTTTTCTGCCTCCAAATTGATATTCATTTCGGCGAATTGCTCACCTTCACATCACCAATTCCCATGTAAACGGAAACCTTGGAGGTACCTCCGTGGCATCCACCGATCGGTGCCAGCCGCTGCCGTTCGGGTAGATTTCTGCCCGCGTGGCGCTCTGGTGGCTTGCCCGAGCTGCACTCTCTGCATGCTAAAAGCTGGCCAGCTGTCCTCCGAGTCTCCGACCATCAACTCTTAGAGATTAATCAAGATTCGCTTAAGAAAATTCTCGTCACTAGACGCGCTGCCCGATGACGACGCCTTCGTGGAATCCTTGAGACCCAACAGCACATGCCTCGTAATGTGAATCGATACATGTCCACCGTGACTCACGATGTCATTCATTGGCCCCGGCCATGTTGAGGCTACTATGCTCTATCTTTATCAATTACGGAGAACACGAGATGTTCACCCTTAGCACCTCCTACGGAACCTGGAATCCTTCCACTTGATCCTTTAATCATCTGCCGTCCACCGCCAGATGATACGGCTTGCGCATTTCGCTTCGTCGGCCATGGTCTGCCTGGGTAGTTGATGGATATCTCCTCTTATGGAGACATCACGGGTAACATACCCGACTATTTCGCTTTCAGAGGACACATTTGCTCTTTGCCCTGCAATCTACCGCAAGACCGTTAAGAAGCAATCTGATGGTTCGATGACCATGTGCCACCCACCGCTGGCGCTGGTGCGGCTGGAGCTAGGCCCGGGCCTGGGTCCGTCCACCTCCTGTGACAATCGCAACAAGCTTCCGACATGTGAAGAAGAAACCGGCCCTCGTTTTCCGAATTCATCAAGATTAGGAGCGGCTTGGATGTCGAAAAGTTGTTATGCGCATTCGAGCAACAGCTTCGGCTAAAGATGGAACATGCGAAGCTTCTTTGTGTTGCTAAGAACAGACGCTTACAACCTCCACCGTGCATCGATATCGATCTACAAAGGATTCATTAATTCTGCATGCCAACTTTCCGCTTCGCACCCCACAAATGCGATTAAAAATGAGGCTGTTAGATGCACGAACTTCACCAATGATGCCATTCATGAAAATTTGCATTTTTTGAGAGCAGAATATTCGATATCTACTTGTTATACTTGCTACAGTTGCCAACTGCCAGTCTATATCCTCCCGTTATCCATGCAAAACGTACAATTCAAAATCCACCAAATTTATACCGCTACAACAAAATCATCTCATGCCTGCGAGCTCTGCGATCCCAGCCTCATCACCGAAGCCAACTTCTGTCTCGCGCTCTCCTTATTCCGATCAACCCTCGGAGTAGCGTCATATCTCTCGCCGTCCTCGAATCCTATCTTTTGCGGTCGCGGAGGAGGAGGCGGAGGCGCATGATGCGGTGCCGATTGGGCGGTCGTGTAGTACGATTCATCCCACTCCTGGGCAGACGTTACCCCGTTGGTCTGGAAATTCTGCTGGCTCAGTTGAGGAGTTGGCGGCGTGGTGTCGACGCTCATTGATGGTCGGGGTCGCTCCTCTCGTCTCTTGCGACGCACTGGAGGATTTTGTGATGCGAGAGACTGCTGAGCAGTCTCGTGTGTTGATGCCACCGAAAAGCGCTTGGAGCTGTAGTCATTGCGAGGCTGATCTTCTTCATCTGTTGCAACCTCGTCTTCCATTTCATCCTCGTACGCTCGTAGCTCGCTTCTCATAGCTAGGCTGGCACAGATGCTTCGCGCCTCCTCGATGGCTGCTTTTCTTGCCTTCAAGGCCGTCCGGCGGTCTCGCGTCTCCTTATTCTCCGCGGCGATGGCCTCGACGGTGGCGTTCTGCATGCGTAGAATCTCAATCGGGTTGAACAGTCCGAGCATCCGCAAAAGCAAATGTCTCTCGACAACCTGAGTGATGGTGTTGCGAGTGAATATCCGCGCCGTGAGATCGTAGTATATGAGCATCTTTTCGAGGACTTCCTCTGCCTCGGTGTAGGTGCCGCCATTCTGGGTAGCTTCTGAGCGCCATCTGATGAGACGTTGTTCGTATTCAGGATCGTACGGCTGGATTTCCAACTCCAGGTCGTCAGTCAACCTCTTGAGCTCCTTCTCTGCCTCGTCCATCATTTCCTTCATCTTGGTCTCCAAGAAGTGGAATCGCAGAGGATCCCTCATCCTCAAAGGCCAGACATGGTCAATCACATCGGCCAGGAATTCGTTGCAAATGACTCCGACGTTTTCCTTGTACTCCTGAGCAAGAATGGGCCAGTTTCGAGAAAAGTCTTGGAATAGTATATATGGAGCCCTAGGGTTGGAATCAAGGGGAAGTTCATTACCCCGAATTTGTCGCAGCAGCGGCTCAACTTCCCTCTGTGCAAACTCTTTCTTAGATTGGTCGTCGACGACTCCCGCGGCCGGCAAATTCATGCCAGAACCGGAAGAGGCAGAAAAGTTGACTTTGCTGCCGTGCTGGCGGAATAGGCGCGAGAATCTCTCGCTCTCTTCGCGGACTCGTGCCCTCAGCTTCTGCGGAGGCGTTCCCTTGGGGCTGGATTTTCTTGCGAAGAATGACTCGCCGATTGGATTCTTGTAATTGCCATTGACAGCAGGTGTGACGAGATTGCCTGATGCAGAGAAGAGCTCGCCCATCTCGAAGCGCATCTCCTCGATGGTGTCTTTTCCAGAGCCCATGGCCTTGAGATCAGATTCGCATTGCTCGAGGACCTGTTGGATCTGTCTTCGGAGCGATTTGACATGCTTTCCCACATGTCGCTGGAGCTGAGAACTGAGCTTCTGTCGCAATGCTTCGATCCCCCACATGTGAGGCGGCAGGGCGGCCCATTTGCCCTTTGTGAAGAAATCTGCTTCGCGTCGCGATCGTTCTTCCGCAGAGGACCAGAACTCGCCCGGCCCTGGGTTGAGGAGGATGTACCAGCCGAGCTTGAAGTTGTTTTCTCGGTCTTTGTTCGCGACAAGCTCGATGAACTTGTCCTCGAGACCAATGCCTTCTGTCATGTCCGGCTTTGTCAAGACGCCAATGGTGCGTGAGCCAGAAGGGTCAAAGTGGCGAGCTTTCTTCAATATCGGCGCCTGCACGTAGTCGTTGTTGCCGCCGATGACGGCCAGGATGATGGTCCGGCTGCTCTTCATGTATCGATCGGAGAGCATCTCAATGGTCTGGATGTCTGCCTCAGACTGGTCTCGATTGGCCACACGAACAAGGCCGGGCAGGTCAACGAGACTCAGCATGGGCATTTCCGGTCCCATCTTTTCGACAACAAGGATATCGCGAGCGGCGAAGCGGCCTGGTATGCTGCGCGGCGCGATGAGTTCTGTAGCTTCTCTCATCATGGCGTCAAATGGCGTGTCAATGCCAACATCGCCTCCAAACTGCAACATGCGAGCCTGCTCATTGTAAGGTCGGTTCTTGTCTGGAATAATGGACACCTTGAGATTCGTCTCCTTTGCTCTCCTCAGGCGAATCTCCGTCGCGAAGCGAGTACAAGCTCCGGCGTCTCGGGGGAAAGGTGTGCCGCTGAGGGCTTCGAGGACAGAGCTCTTGCCGGCGGATTGGTCGCCCACAACGACAATCTGAGGCAGTTTAACATTGTCTAGCTGGGCGAACTGGAGCTTGTCGATGAGATCCAGCAGGCCCCTCTGCTCGTCTGCGAGACCTTGGGCTTCGAGGGAAGACCCGAGCGTAGGGGCCATGGCGGGATGTGCGGATTGGGAGTTTAACAGCATAGATCCCATCACCTTATCAATTGAAGTAATAGGAATTGAGGATATATGAATCAAAGAATTTCTTGTCAATTGCTAGAAGCTGAGAATGCCTCTTATATACAGGAGTTATTAGAACAAGGAGACCACTGTAGGCAGGCCTTGGCGGGTATGAACGGCCCTCTTAGGCGTCGTTTCGAACGCCATGATTTGCCACTCCTCCCGCTTTGTTGGTGTGTTTGTGTTTCCGAATTTGCCCCTGGGTTACGCGTTTGCGTACGCATTCACTCGAAGGCAGCCATTTAGTAGAATCTGGTGGGATTTTAAGAGCTACTAAGGTAGATTTTGGGGTACGGTACTCCAGCGTGACGAGTACAAAAGCGCAGGCAGCCGGTTAAAAGTGTGGCGAAGTTATATGTGGCGCACTAGTGTGGCTGTGCAAGCCTGTTTACTTGTTTGCCGAGGCTTAAATGTTGAATGCCACTGCGGATGTAATTGTTGAGACTGGGCACATGGAATTACTCCCGATGTTAGGTGGCAGTGCTAGTCCAGATCCCAAAATTTAGATGTGCTGTATATCCAGATGTTTAAAGAACAAGGTATAGCTCAGCAGGAGATGCTCATGGTTGGGAATGCCCTGTGACTTACATTACCCGGGCGGGCGCAGTAGGTAAGTCAGATAAACGCCCGTAGCAATCCGTAGCAGCATGCAGCGCTCCATCAGTTAATACCTTTAGTTGCGGCATTTCACCAATTTTCGCAGAAATGTTAACAGCTGGAAGAAAACTATTCCAATGCGTGCTGAATACGGCATCAACTCATCCAAGGCTCCGTTCAATATATTCTTGAAAATGCTGATTGTCTGGAGCCACGTCCCCTCCAGTCTCTCCATCTCAGCCAGCCCCATGGTGTAAGACTTGCCCAATTCAGCCATGGATAGACGACATATATATTAGGCCATATTAATTCTTGTAATATAAAATGCTTAAAAAGTCGTCTCCCGGTGTGTTTTTAATAAAGATTAAGCAGCAAGTATTAAAACAAAAGGTACTCAGAAAAAATAACGATTATGCCATTCGCAGAGTAAGTATATTATTATCCTACATAGGATTAATTGGTAACCGGGCTCGCAGCAACCTACCAGTTCAGTTCTCGGACGAGAACGCCGAAACCAAGGTTGGCACGGTCAAAAGCTTCAATATAATTACTACGCTCACTTTAATAATTATGCACGATCGAGATAAAGCTGACGAGAAGTATAGGACGGGATCTATACGCTTGAACTCGAAGGAAACGAGGTCGTAGAAGTGGAAGAGGCGAAAGTAATGGAGATCCAGCTTCAGATGGGGGGTAAATGATTAACTCAGGTATTTGGCAGGTAGGGAATGAAATATAAATACCTATTAATGAAACTGCATGGTCAGGATGAAAATCTCTTACATGAATGCGAGGACGAAGTGGATTCTTCGCGACATACACCTCTCCACCGTACGGCAAAAGCAAAGTGTAAGGATGCGATGAATTGATCTTGTCTTACGGAGCCGATATAGCAGTAGATGTTGCAATTCTCTAAGACAAGGAGAAAGCTGTTAAAAATAGCAAGAGGAGGGATGTTGCAAAAGATCATCTCCACCAAATTGCATTAACTACAGCACTCTCCATCTAGATTGCCGAGAAACGCACCAATCTCTCAGTCAGCTACAGATACCAATTCCTACCTAGGAGTTTCCTCTTTGCCGAGTTAGGATACTTGACTGCATAGCCTTAGACAGAGAGCCGGGCAAATCCACCCCGCTTGTTCTCTTCATGCTCTCCGCTCAGCACAATCACTTACATCCGGAGAAATGCTGATTGTCTGGTGCCACGTTGACCCCAGGCCTCTCCATCTCAGCTAGCTACAAAACGGCACCATCGCCCGATTGAGCCAGTGACAGTTTGTTTGATGATGGTATGATAACCGTGCCATAAAACAGTTAAATGCGCAATCTTTCGGCACATTTTCGTTTTCGTTTTCTAAAAAGTCCCAGGCACCAATCAATAACAAAGACCATCACCCAGGAAATTCCAATCATCATGAAATACCAAGTGTAAGTGTATCGCTATGCTGCTCAGGTATCATTCATTCATAACCATGTCGCAGAGGTGATAAGGTCTAATTCGATATGTCTGATGGGACAGTTATGGTCGGCATGGTCGGAATGTTCTTCGTAATTACTGCCTTGCCCTGTATAAATGTAGACAATTGAGAACAGGGCTGACAAATAGAATAGGGCGGGAAGTATATGGTAAACGTCGGCAACTACCAGACTTATTCAATTGCGGAGTCGGAATTGAGGCCGCACAGGGGTTAATCGTCCAATTCATTCTCTACAAGGCCGGCATTCACTTAGACGCGGTTATATACTGCCAGGATAAAGTCAGATAGAGCATTGCTTCTCACAAAAAAACCCCCCCTAGGCAAGCATCCAGGCGTATATATCAATTCCAGAAGAAGCATATCCACTATGCGTAACCTTTTCAAATGAAGAGCAATCTTTTCCCAGCCTCAATTCCTTTACTGCCACGCATCTTCAAAATTCACTTTCGAAAGAATTTTCTAATCGTGGTAATGGTAAAAATAAACACAATTAAAAGAATTGCCACGTACAACAAATATTTTGCCAAGGGAAACAAAGCAAACCGAAGATTGTTCGATGCCACTGCGATATTATCCAGCAGCCAGACAAAACGGCGAAGAACCGGTGAGAGAAGATAGCCAAGAGCTCCTACCACAAACAGGCCGATCGAGCCCAGCAGGCAAGAGACCGTTGCCGCGCAAACATACCACATTTTCTTATTGTCGAGTAGTGTATGGCGTGCCTTTTCATTGCGGGCCATGGCTTTGGTTGGAGTTTTCTGTAGAACTGTTCCATCTTCTCTCTTCGTGCTCTCGTCTGGCGAAGAAGGGGTTGGCGTATCCTCAGTACAGACCATGTTATTTGCACAAACTTCATCTTTCCTTTTGTCTTCATCGCAAGTTTTAGTTGGTTCGTCATTACCCACTGAAGGCTCTTTACTTCCGTCTTCAGTTTGCAACGAACAAATCTCTTTCTTGCAATCATCGCCTTTGTCCTTCAAGTCAAGTTGCTTAGTCTTGCAGACAGATTCCGTTGATGCTTTGCCATTCGTGCTTTCAGGTTGCGAAGAACAAATCGCTTTCTTGTCATTTTCACTTTTCTCCTGTGCGCCAAGCTGTATATTCTCGTAGACGGATTTCGTTGATGTTTTCCCGTTCGTGTTTTCAGGCTGCAAAGAATGAACACATGTCTTGTCGTCATCGCTTTTCTCCTTGGCCTCAAGCTGTTTCTTCTCGCAGGCGGGCTTGGTTGATGCTTCCCCCTTCGTGTCATCAGGCAACGCCGGACGAACCATCTCATTGCTTTTTTTCTCTTGCTTTTTCTTATCAACTTCGCGTGGTTCGCCTCGGCCAGAAGGTTTCGAAGTTCTCCATTTGTTACTTCCAAATAGTGAAAAGTGTCCCATTGATTCCAGCCCGTTTCCAGCACCTCTGACCATAACTATGCTCTCGTTGAAAGCCTTGTACATGGCCACGTTGAGCTCTTTATCCGAAACGATCGAATGTGCTGTGGATATCGGGTTAGTCATATAAACATCAGACATCTGGAATCATTAAACCGACCGTAGGCCAGCACGTCCTCCGATCCTTGGCACTCTGGTTTAACCAACAAAGCAACGCCTTGTACTGAATGGAAGGCCCTGGTCGCCACCGCTTGACCAAGTCTCATTTTCTTCAGGAAAAGCCAAAACCGGGTATTGGACTGTCCCTGGTGACCTGTTAAGAGTCGCTCCAGCTTCTTGCGGCAACTAGATTCGTATTCAGGGGAGCCATAGTTCAAATCGACACTCATGGTCCAAGTCTCAAACATGATAGTTGCCGCTGCCATATCGCTAGTAAAGGTCTCGTCTGTTCCGCCTGCCACACATTATTAGCATTTCAGCCACGCAAAGGGTAGAAGCTCCATTACCTAGTTTCTGATAAAGTGTCTTATGATCCAAACCAGTGCCATCTTTTCCATGATTTGGATGCTCCAAAAATTTGGTTGTAGCAACGTTACGAATGTGTAACTGGTCAAGGTCGCCATATTCCTTTAGCTCAAATGTCCATTTGAAAGGAATCTCTCTTCCTTCGCGCCGCATAAATTGGAACAAGCCCCTGATGTAGCTCAACTGTTGGGCGCCGTGTTTTTCGGTCAATTTCTCTCCTATTATGCATGGTTCTGTTAGATACCACGCTATCAAATTCAGAAACGCTTTCTTTCTGAAAAAGATCATTCTCGAGCCATGGAACGCGAGATCAATCAAAAGACTGTTGATGATTCGGACGTGTTCGGCAGATATTTTAAAGATTGTGAAGTAAAAATTGTCACATTCGCACAATTTCTGGTCCTTTCCAATCCTTTGGACCAGTTGTCCATTGACCTCTTCCATTGGAGTAATCATTGCCTTTCGGATGGGGAGATTCTTCAATATGGATTCATTTCCATTGCCAAAGTCGGTCTCATTCTGGGTTTGTCGCACCGTAGCAACTGGATTCTCACTGTCGATTAACTCAGGCAAAAGGTTGTACCGCAAGACTATCATGAGCTTTGGCGAAATAGGAGCAAACCTGTGAAAGCAAGGAGCTAAGTCCACATGGTTCATCATAGCCTCAATCTGGTAAGCTGCGATCTTCCCTTCGGTTACGTTGCAGCAGTTGTCCGTAAGGATAAACTCGTCGACATGGTCTTCTGGTGTGCAGATAGTCATATACATCTTATTCATATGATCAATAAACGTGTCGGCAATGGGGAAGTAGATGCTGTGTTTGATGAGCTCGACCCAGATCCCTGCCGGATCAATCTCCACATCAATGATTATCTCCAGGCTCTGAAGCCAGACATCAAGCGGCTTTGTAAGCCCGTAAGTTTCCATGAATTCCTGCAACCACACCTTATCATCCCCATCGTAATCTTGTACGTTGTCGAGGTTGTATTTTCGGTGGTATTGCACGCTACGCAAGGTAAGCAGGAACATGAATTTGCGTAAGAAATCATTGTCTTTTCTTGTCAGACATATGTTGTCTCTGCCGTTTTTATACGTCTTGACGATCTTGCGATAAATGAGGCTCGCCTTGCTTTCTATGGCGGCAAACTTCTTCTCGAGATGGCCATGGTCTTTCAGCAGGTTTTCGGTGTCCTCGTACATGTCCTCCATGCCACAAGTACGTCGTACAGCACATTCTTCCAGGTAAAATTCGCCAGAGAGGTGGAGGGTATTAACCGCTGGCTCTCCAGAATACATCCCAGTCTTGGCGTTGCGCTTCTGACCCTTCGCCGTGTCGTGGGAGTCGGGAGAAACATATTTGTGGGCAAAGTTCTTGAGGAGAAACTGAGGAATGAAATGTTGATACTGATGCGACGGCTTGCTAGCTGCGATGTTTGGTTTTGCAGGATTTGGCCCGACGGCGAGAGGATCAGGTTCGGTAGCCATGTTGTGAGGCTGGAATGTTTTTGTTGAACGGTGAACCCCCGCTTCAGCTGGCGGGCTGGGATCATGATGCCTGTTTCAAATTCATGTACGAAGAGCCAGACAAGCCAATCGACGCCTCGCCAGCCTGCCGGTCAGGGATCAACCATATTCCATCGTGCCGTGCCGACCAGGCTGTGCACATATGCAAGGGAAATGAACCTATCAACGCTTTCGCTTCGGTTGGCGGGAAGTGCAGACAGCTGTTCACCTCGATGTGAAGCATAGCGCAAGGAGGATAACCTGCTACAGCAATGCTCTTTTCGATCTGTATTATACCGCTGAATTGGTTGTGCGGAGGATTTGACGTTGCAATAAGGCACAACTCTTTATAGTGAACTGTAAGATGATTCATTGAGTTGGTTCAGAATTGACACGCTCGAGTGACAGCAATGACGCGTGTAGGTGACAAGTTCCTCAGGCACTTTCACTGCAAAGAATGCAACATTATCTAATATTCTCAACCCCGCAAGTAAATGGACATCTCACACACAATGCAATACTGCATGGAACATACTATTGATACGTAAGGCTGAATGTATGCAGCTTGTTACTCAAATCGCCCTCCGCAAGCAACCAAGTTACCCTGTAAACCGTCATTTGACGTAGTATTGTCTAGCCAGCAGCCCGGATTCAATTGAATTAGAATGGTAAACGTCAAAAGTAGAAAGCTATAGGGTTTGAATCATATACGAGATGATTTGGGACAATGAGAGTATTGGGGAACGAAATAATAGTCTCACCTGGTAATCGCCTCGTATCCTCAACTAACAGAATAGCACACTTTATAAGTGCAGCCGTGCCCTTGAATCAACTGCCTATCTATTTATAGTCTATTACCTGTCCTCTAGAGTCGGTATATTACAGGTATATTTCGTAGTTTTTCAAGCTCTGTGAATCAGACCGCTTATTCAATTTTCAGATAATTTGGCTCAATGTTGATGTCACGAGGCCCTCCAGCACAATCTCCCATTATCAAACTAACCATGCGCCCAGGAAATTCTCGTAAATATCTCACACGATTATCAGCCTTGAAAAGGCTATAAAGATGCTTAATTTGTCGCTCGTACTTAGGCCCATACACTCCGCCTTCCTACTTGTGACAACAGGGATCGCGGAATCCCGGTCATAAGGCTTCTCGGTCCGATTTGCCTAGGACTGCAGACATGAGCTGTTTGCTAGCAAATAGCTCAACTATTCCCGAGATGCATATATATCAGGGTTCTAATAACACGTCTCCATTTCAACAGCTACTCTCCGCAAACCTGGGGACTCGACATCGCACCATGATAGGCTCGTGGCCTATCATACAGGCCTCACGATGCAGCCACATCGCCCACTCCAAGATGCCGGGAAATGGCCCTTCTCCGGCCCATTGCTAACACCTCACACGCAGCAACTGGAAGCATCTGCGTCATAATACAGCCTTGGCAACTTCCTTTCGAGTCTGTTCCAAGGGGAACTTGGACTTTGACACGGCCCCACCAGCGGAGCTATCGCCGTCTTTTCTCTTCGGCCGCTTTGCCGGAGCCCGTCATCGTGTACTTGCTTCGGACATCGTTGACCCGAATCTTCGTCCATGGAGTTTTGAATCTGTCCGAAGACAGTCTATATTCACTTTTGACCCCCATTCATTGTTCGACTTGAGCTTTGCCCGCACTATTATCCTTGGCTATCGTCGTGGTTCGTCGACGGCGGACCGTCGGCGAGACTGGCCTTCAAAACCAGGGGTTGGCCGTCAAATGATGTTGAAATAGTGTGATAAGAATTCTATTGCATACTTAGTACGTGGCTCCTGGTTCGATTGAAGTCCATCAATCCAAATGCCCCTTTCCAAGATCGCCGTACATCCACACTTGATACTAGAAGAGTGGGTACTCAGGAGGCGCCACAAAGACTCTTCATTGAAGATCATTGAAAAAGGATGAGCATCTCTTTGTGAATCTTCTATTCACTTTTGAATGTACCACTTGGTTCTTTTTCTCACATTAGATTCACCTTTCTCTTACAACGCCTCAGTCTTGTCGTCTCTCAAAATGACGTATAAACCGAGTATATGCACAATGTCTCTGGGGAGATGCTACGCTGGCCATTCTCTCCCAGAGAAACTAGACGTGGCAATGAGCTCTGGCTTCACAGGCATAGAGTTATTCTATGAAGACCTCCTGGATCTCGCCAAGAAGATGCCTGGAGGAGCCACTCCGGAAAATCACATCTCGTCCGCACAGTTGATTAGAGGATATTGCGACGATAGAAACCTTGAAATCATCTGTCTCCAACCATTTATGCACTATGAAGGCCTCGTGGATCGCAACTTGCACAATCGGCGTATAGAAGAGATGAGGCTCTGGTTTAAGATGGCGCACGTGTTGGGTACTGATCTTATCATGCTGCCAAGCAGCAACTTGCCACCAGAGCAAATCACTGAAGACATGGACTGTATCATCCAAGACATGATAGAAATAGCTGAGATGGGTCTTCAAGAAACGCCAGTCATTAGGTTTGCATACGAAGCTCTCTGTTGGGGAACTCGTGTTGAGACCTGGGAAGCCAGCTGGGACGTTGTATGCAAAGTAAACCGACCAAACTTTGGCATCTGCCTAGACACATTCAACATTGCAGGCCGCATATACGCTGATCCTACAATGTCAACTGGCCGCAACCCAGACGCCACTCAAGCCTTGACACAATCTTTGGATCGCCTTGTCCAGTCTGTCCCAGCTGATAGAATATTCCTCTTGCAGGTAGCTGATGGAGAGAGACTCGAGCGCCCATTACTTCAAGATCATGAGTTTTACGATCCAGAACAGCCACCTCGCATGAGCTGGTCTAGAAACGCAAGGCTATTCTATGGCGAGCCTCATTACGGAGGTTACCTACCTATCCGAGAGATTCTTCAAGTTCTTGTTTCGCGGATTGGTTTCAAAGGCTGGATAAGCCTTGAAGTCTTTAACAGGCGTCTGACAGATACAGATCAGTCGGTTCCAGAAGAAATGGGCAAGAGGGCAGAACAGTCATGGAACAGCCTCAAGAGAGACCTCAATCTGAATACCTATAACCTCAGCTATACGAGCAAGCTTTTCGATTTATTACAGTACGTATCTCAATCTGGGTTTTTGTTTTCTGACAAAACGGCTAAGATGTACCTGAAGCAGCCTATTACACCCAAAGAAAATGCTATGGAGCTATAGGTCGAGTAACGACTCGCAGCACATTGTTCGGACTCCCATATGATTCTCTTTAGTTCGCGAGGTTGTGACTCATCTACGAGATGTAAATAGCCCAGCCAAAGCTACAGATGTGGGGGATGATAGTCTATTAGAAGGACAGGGAGTAGATCATGGCCAAGCTTTCGTGGCGATTTATTAATCTCATCAGCTAGATAGACCCTGCCTAGTATTATATGAGTGAGTGAAAGAATTTGAACGTTGTACTGGAACATCGAAACATCTAATAGCTTAGCGTTACATTTCTTCAATTTCCTGTAACCGTACCATATATTGCTCTCGGAGACGCTTGAGGTAGCCAGAGATAGTCTCCTTGTTTGAGGACTTCTTGGCTTGGTTAATGGCTTCATAAAGGTTCAACGCGAGTCTGCGTCGGTGAATCTCTTTATATGCGTCAGAGCTCTGTCGGTTCGACTCTCGCCTTTTTCTCAAATCATTCGCAACGGTCTCTGCGCAGTTGATAAAACTCTGCGGCATTCCAATGGCGCGGGCCAAAGCGATTCCATAATGGTTTTCGTCATCAACAGTTCCGGCATCAGCTTTGTACAGCATTGTCAATTGCGGCAGTCCTCCCTCCCCAACCGATGTGCTGGATAACAGATGGAGATTGAGGACGCCGATACGGTCTGCAAACACTCGAGCCAGCTCGACAAAGTGGGTTGCAAACCAGATAGATGCCCTAGTGTTAAGCAGAGCTTCGGATATGGCCATTGCAATGGCCATGCCATCTCTGGTGCTTGTCCCGCGGCCCAGCTCATCAATGACTGCGAGGCTCTTGTTGTCTATATTTTTCAGAATGAAAGCCATTTCCCTCATCTCCACTCCAAAACTCGAGAGATTTGCCTCAATATTATCTTGGGTCGAGATGCGGGCAAAGATGTTGTGTATGATTGGAAAGGATGCGAACTCTGCCGGGACAAAACATCCAATTTGGGCCATAATTTGAAGCAACGCTACTGAGCGTATGTATGTGCTCTTGCCGCTCATGTTGCATCCTGTGACACAGTGAAAACGATGCTGCTCGGCCGAATAGTAATCGTTGGGTGTGTACTCGCTTGCCATTTTCTGCAAATAATAATGTTCAGCCCATGCAAAGCAATTTGTACTTAAGTTCTAGGGCGGTGCGTTACCTTGTCGAGGATTGGGTGCCTTGCTGATTTTAAAGCCAAAGTGTCCTCCATATTTGGCCTCACATAGTCGCGCGTGGTGGTGATTTGACCAAAGGAAGATATCATATCCACAAGAGCAATTGATTCGCATATCCGGAACAAAGGTGACACCTGGCGTCGAAGTTCTTTTACCAAGTCACGAACGGCGGCGTCGCTTCGCACAACTATCTCGTTCGAAGTGTCCAAGAGCCGTTGATTTAGCTTGACAAGATTGAGCGTCTGACATTCCATGTGATTCTTTTTTGGAATCACATTTATGAAATCTTGTCTTATTATATCCTTGTCCAAGTCCACTGTAGGGATTCGGAACCAGTATAAGCGGCGATTATCGAATTTCAAGGTTGCCGCAACACGATATTGTTCTGTATACGCGTGTGTCAATTTTCATTCTTTGGGTTAAGTGATGGTGGCCGCCCATACCGTTGATCACATCTGAGTATGCGTGAATAGCTTCGGTAAGCTCTCTATATGTTTGACGAGCAACATCCAACATGCCGCTAATACCGGATTTGACCGCAAAGGCCCTTTGATTGCGCAGATCTAGTGGAGATTTCATGTAGGTGACATC